TACAATTCCAGTAGTTTATCTGTAAGTTTAGGTTTGTGTTGCAGGCTTTTCTTATTTGCAGCCAAGATGCCGTGCGTATACTTCTCATGTATGTTTTGTCGGCCACCCAGGCCATGTGTTTTGCAGTCTGCCGTATTTTTTAAGAAGTTGTTGAATTTTCACTTTGTGGAGTGATGTCTTAAAGTGTTAGAAAACAAAATTTTATTCACACTAAGTTTTATTTTTCGTAGAATAAGTACCAGTAAAAGAGCTTTTTTTTTCCCCATCAGTCTTCTGAAAGGACAGGCCGCATTTATCTTCAGATATTAACTAGGTATGAGTTAGTTCCAAGCCTGGTTATATAAAGACTCCAAAATCATGCAAAAATAATTTATTAAAAGGAAGGAAGGGAAATCTTACTGTCACTAATCTTATGGAAAATTGATAGTTTTTCCATTTAGATAGTAATAGTGCAACAGCTGGAAAGTAACACGCAGGACAGAAGGTCTCATGATATGATAACGTGAAGAACCTTGCATTAGGGATGTGCATGGGCAAAAAATTTGGTTGGGAAATTCGGTTAAGTAAAAAAATTTGTCTGCTTCGGCACTGCCGAATGTCGTCACTTTGGACACTTGTAAACATCTGAATGGCATAAAATTTGTACGAATGTACATTCGGAACGAAACAAATTGCACATCTACTTTATATATCCTATATAATAATTTGCTAAGGATGTTTGTCAGATGCAGTCATATGCAGTAGATACTGCGGAAGACTGCATGGGACAAACATCCCATGCCAGATGGCGAAGGAGCAAAGTACTTGCTGTGCTCTTGCAGCACAGCTCACTTGCACGTCTTTCAGGGTCCGCTGGCAGCCGCGATGTGACGTGTACAGGATATGATGTCATTGCACAAAAGAAACTAGCTTGTTGGTCAAGATTGCTGTTATCATTCACGTAATTTTCCCTCCCTCTCTCATTTTGCCACTTTCCAGAAATCCGAATCACTTTGGCACTTCCGAACTACCAAACTTCATCACTTCAGATGAAGCATCCGAATCGCATGAAATTCGTACGAATGTATATTCGTAACGAAAAGAATCGCACATGTCTACCTTACATGCAAACACCTTTGGCACGTTAGACATTTTGGACTACAACTCCCATAATGTTTTTTACAGCCGTAATGCTGACAAAGCATCAGGGGAGGTGTAGCCCACAACATTTGAAGTGCCAAAGGTTGCCTACCCATGAGCAAGGACTAACAACCTAGAATCTTGAGGAGAGATTACTATGTATGTAGCTGCTTTGGAGATTTCATCAGATGAAGCAGAGGTTTGAGATACCCATTAAATGGTAACAGGTCTTATTTTACCATCTTTCAATCATTTAGGTGGAGCTTTTCCTATCCCTGATAATTGAACTTTAACCCCTTAAGGACACGTGACATGTGTGACACGTCATGATTCCCTTTTATTCCAGAAGTTTGGTCCTTAAGGTGTTAAAGCAAGCTGGAAATGGATTTAGAAGCAGATTTTCCTTTTGTTCCTCCTCTGTATCTGACTCATACAAAGGAGCTATGCTTTTGAGAACGCTTAGAAGACCTCAACGTCAGCAAATGGTTCTCTTCTTGTGGATATCTGAAATTGTGACAAAACGTAAGCAGCACAACTTCCTCATACAGATTGGACTGTTGACTGGCTAACCACTTTGAGCCTAAATGAAGCAGCTTAAAAACGCACTAGGTGCTGTAGCCTCTTTAGCCCGCTGTAGTGATTATGGCGCTAGGAGTTCCCAGCACTTTCCACTAGTTATCTCAAATCGTTTATGAATATTCCCCAACCTCTCTTCTGACGTGATGGCTACTAGGATTTGAGGACATTGGGAACCAAGGCATGAACAGGATCAGTTCCTAATGAGAGGCACTAGGAAGTAAACCTGGAGCAAACTCTAGTTAGTTTTTTTTCTTTGCTTGTACCAACATGTCTATTACTGCTGTATAAATTCTTTTAGATGTTAATGTCCCACTTTGATACCATGCTTTTAGTATGCAGTAGTATAGCAAATAAGGTCTGATAGGCTGAGTTCCAGAAATACTTCTCTTATGGGAGACTCCAAATTTGTCCTCTATAAAGTTGAAGTTCCAGGTTCTATGTGACTCTTGGAATGAGAGATTAAAGGAGGGAGTACATAGGTTAAATGGAAAATCAAATTCTAAAGGCAGAATTCTGGTTTCCCCAGTCTGTCTGCCATGAGAACTACTGCTGGTGAACAAAAACAATACATAATTCAGAAACAATAATTGACAGGAACCAGCAGTGGCGGCTAGTGACATTTAAAGTTGGTGGAGCGCCAGACTGGAAACATGGATTTGACTAAATATTTTGAATGATTAATAGGAATATGTCTATATTGCTCCATTACGTTCAAAATATATGAGGACAATGCCACATATACGGCATAGACAGATTCCAATTAATAAGCTAAATAAGTTAATCATGTTGAGGATAAATTCATATTACAAATGCAATACACAATTGAGCCACAAGAGGTCATCAGATTGAAGAGGAGAAGACTAAGATCTGACATAACTTTATAACATATATAATACTTGCTATATACTTACGGTGGCGAAAATAACCTCCCCACTGAGTTCTGGAGGAGCCTATTTGCTCGCCTTTTGCCTCAGGATTATGGCCCCTACGTTAAAACTTCATTTTCCCCCTGTAAAAAGACTTGTTTGTGTCTTTTTACTATGTGGTTCAGTAAATGGAATTTACTGAACAAACTACCGAACAGCCGGACCACACGCAAGTGGAGTGTGCAGCCAATTTACCTTAACCTCAAGCTAATAGACGAACGGCTGGGTGGTCGCAGTTCGTATAGTTGAACACGTGGCTGTGGCCATCTTGTTTAGTCGAACGTGGTCAGCTGTGTTTTGCCGTTGAGATCATAGAACTAAAAATCAGACACGTGACAGCACGAACACCGCCGAACCTTATCTTCTTTGAAACTTCGACGGGAGTCCAACGGCCTCCGACAATTCGAACGCCACTTTAACATTGGCTATTTACACGAACGTCTCCTGTTCGTGCATTCGAACTATGTGAACTAGACCGGCCGCACAACCTAAATCCCTGGAACTGTGTTGGGCATACAAGCCATGCTTGTGGTCGGTCAAATGTGACTTCCAGCTATCTCCCGAACCCCTGAACCGATTGCTATTATTTTTGAATATGTTCTTCCCATAATTATGACCGTTCAGAAAATGTACATTTATGTGAATTCAATGTATAATTTTGATGTTATGAGATATGTAAAAATGTGTTTTTTCTGCTTGGGAATAATTGAGTTAATACAGTATCTTGCTCAATTAACGCCCAAACAGAGGAGAGGGTTGGTGTGCATTATTTGGGAGTGTCTAAATGTACAAGTATGTCCTGATTTTTGCAACTTTGTATCCTGTGTACCACAAGGTACACATGGGTGGTAACTGTGGGAAAACCTGTATATAAGACACAAACCCTCAGACTGCTGAGTTCCTGTTTTACCCTCAACATAGAGCCTTGTCTCATGTGGGGGGGAATAAGGCTGCATCTACACTGGGGATTGCTATACGCTGTATATGCCCCTGGCTATAATCACCAAGCTCTTTTAAGAGCTTGTTCCTGCTTCGCTCTCTGAAGGAAGAGAGGTCCACCCACTGGAGCCTGAAGCCTTGTCGTAGGTCCAGGGCTGGTAGGAGACGGCGAGACCCCAACAAAGCTGCGGCGGTTCGTGGGGTCTGCAGTGCTTATGGTGTCAAGTGGAGTGCTTGGAGCCCTCGGAAAGCACTAGGAGCATCCATCAACGGAGTTACCCAGTTGGGGTACCAGGTGATCCATTACACTTACGATAAATAGGGATTTTTTTGTGGGATGGCTAGAGGTCCCTGAGCCACTAAGCAATGGGGGTAGCAGAGGAGAGTGATAGTCTAATAAGAGAAACGGATTTGGTTCCTCCTTGTTGAGATAGACCACCACAGCAGAATTCTCTGATCTGACTTGAACAAGGTGATCATGGGTCGGAGACTGGAAGAACAAATGGACTTCCTAAATCACTTTCTGTCCCTTATAGTTTAATGACTGAACTTTTTTTTCACATTAATCTCTTTTTCTTAGATGTCGAAAATGGGCTTTCCAGGAGTATCCAGTCATGAATATGCAAACTCCTGCAAGCAGCAAGGAAAACCTACAGATGCCGTAAGAAGCAGCGCCTGTGACATCACCCACTGCAAGTTTAACCCCTTAAGGACACAACTTCAGAAATAAAAGGGAATCATGACGGAATATTTCTGTCATGTGTCCTTAAGGAGTTAAAAGACAAGACAAAGAAAAAAAACCACACAAAAACAGTCTAATGTCACAGGACATCTTATAACATATGTGGGACATGTAAAGCTAACTTGTACCTAGTAACTTGTAAGGGATAGATGTTGCTTGTCCATTCATAAGACTGGATGCAAAACCCTGTCAGGAAGGAGTAAACCTGTGCGGTGAATTCTCAACTGCCCACCCACACAGTTCCCTTCACATAAATCACATCCTTCCAGTGCTGTCAAGCAGGAGAGGAATGGATGAAGAGACAGCTCTCAGATAAGAGACTTAAATCCTTCATAGCTATTTAGAATTCCCATCTGAAATAAAAAGTCACAGGCCAGTCGCAGTGCTCAACCAAGTCCCTTAACAGCGTAGTGACTATCAGTACAACAGAATAGGTGTCCATGATTGTATGTCATCTCTCTGGAACACCAAATCGTTCTACATATAAGCCTTAAATTGTTTATAAGTAGCATCAGCCTTTGAGACACAGCTAAACACTGACAAATTGTCCACTCTTCTCCATATCAGAATGCTTTACAATTTATGAAGTTTGCTTCTGACAACACTGTTGTAAGGCACATTCCACAATAGCACAATTACAGTTTTGCAAGCAACAAATTGAGAATATACAAAATAACTAATAACTACAACTTATACTCATTTAAAAGTAATAAAATTAAACTTCACTGGTAACTATCCTCATGCCAAAGTCTGTTTTCTGAAGAGAAGAATAAAAAAATATATACGTAGTTTCCATAATAAACATTTTAATCTCTGCTCATTAAGTCAGGTTTATCGATTTATACTCTGTGAGAACAGTGTATTTGATACAGTCTAGTGTTTATTGTTTTATGTTATGGACGTTACACTTGAATTTCAAAAAGTTAAAACATATAAAAGTGGTTAAGGGAAAACAATGTATTAACATTTGATAAATGCATAAGAATGTTTCTTTTTATCATACCATATATTAGGGTACAATGGTAGTATTAATGCCAAGAGAGCATCATGGAAATTTAGTTTAAAAAAAAAAAAAAAATTATACTATGCTTTTTACAAACAACATGTGCTGCTGCTTAAAAATATCAGGGGAGATCCTGCTTTTTTGAATGAAGAAAAGTCCAATGATCTTGTGACATGTCAGTTTTCATCTTCTATTGTAATCTCATTTGGAGGATGCTTAGAGAAGAAAAAGAAAAAAAGAAAAAAGAAAAAAAAAAGAAAAAACAACAACCACCCAGAAAAACATATATAAATGATGCAAATACACCACAGAAATCACAGATCAAATTTTCATCAATAAGAACATAAAAGGTACAGATCTGAACTCTCCCTATATGAAATAATTTACACACAGATGTCACCTATACCACCATCTAAAATAATCACTAAATACATTTCTTTGAAATAAACAAGCAATAATATTTTGCATGATCAAATATCAAAAACAGATCCAAAGTAGTGTGTGTTTTTGTTCTCCCCTCCTCACATTTTCTTGACTCAGAATGTAACCGTTCAGAAACTTTATTTTTAGTTTGTTTGTTTTTTTAATATGTTTTTTACTGAAGTGCAATCAACAAAGCTTATCTGGTAGAACAACTGCATAAAGAAACCACTGGTCAAAAAAAGACAATGGAATAGGGGAGGCGCTTAAGTCACAAAACCATATTTTTTTTTTCTTTTGCACAGTTTCCAAGTAAAACAAGAGGCAGCATAAAACTTGTGCCAGGTTATTCACAATGCAAATATTTATGCAGACGATGTGACACTTTGTTTGTAAACTGCATGGTATGCATTTCTCAGTAAGACGTAAGGAAAGCAGGATTCCAGCAAATCCATAGTCAGGAATGGCGACTCTTGCACGATCTGTTGCAAAACAAAAACACAGAAAAAATGCTTAAATAACTTCAATAAAACTAGATTTATATTAGTCTTGTTTACTGCATCACAATTAAATCTGAGCACATTAACATATCATCAGGGCGCATTGTTCACTAGTCAATGGCTAGTATCGCGTGGAAACTTTGAGCCCTGATATTATGCAACAATGAGCAGTGAAGGAAAATTACACTAAACAAATGCTTTTGTCGACTTAGAAATGTATATATGTCTTTTTGTAGTGCTATGACAATGTTGCAAGTTATATTTTAGCAAAATAAAAATGTATTGATAATTATTCTAATTATTGAAGAAATGAGTTTTCCTGATATAAAAAAAATACTAACAATTTTCATAAATTATACCAATATTCCAAAAAAGCAGGATTAAGGTCAATAACAAAATCCAATTACTGAATAAACAGAGTTCACTTTTATTTTTTTTAATCAACGTGTACCCATTATAATCAAGAGTGCTATTATCAGCTAACATGCATGTTTTTTTAGATTAACTGGAGTATGAATGATGGGAAACAAAGTTGGTGAAATGAAAGCGTGCCTGCAAACCAAAACAAAAATCACACAAAGGAAATCAAAGTCGTTATGCCTTGTTGAATTAAACTAATTTCCATATTTTTCAGTTAAACTCACCATGTCTAGCAGCAAATAAACAGATTCTCTATTCCGTGTAGTAGTTTTATCGGTCTCTTGGCCAATTTTCAGTAAACTAGATGATGCAAGCTGAAGAGAAAAAAAAAAAAAAAAAAAGACGACCACAATGTATTATATACCTAATCATGCTTGTATTTAACATACATCTTAATGACAAAAAAACAAACAAAACAAAAAAACACAATTACATTTGGGTTATTTTCTTACTACTTGATGGGTCTGTGAAATGTATTTAGTTCCTTATTTAAAAAAACAGCGTAATGCTGAAAATACAGATCACTTGATCTCGCAATGACAAACACAGATTCCACAGATTCACCTTAGCTCAGTGTACAATAACTCTGCTCAGTCTACACATCCGATTCAATAGACCAACTTCTATGGTAATCACACCATTGAATATTTAAGATCACCTATAACTGCTATTCTTACTGTTTCCATGTGATGCTCAATTTTCTATATATTTACAACAAAGGTTTAACAAATGACACAGCAATCCAGTTCAGTCCAGGCACACTGAAAATGACGAGGAGATAAAGGAACTCTAATTTCTCCTGTTCTTTGTATGCTTTCTCTATGCTCATTGCCAGGTGCCAAGGACAGAACGTATAAGAATGATTGACAGGGAACTAAGATGAAGGTACACAGTTGCAGAATAGAGTACTGGATTTGTCCATTTTATTTTTTCACACCTGACATACTTGTTTAATATATGAGACAAGTAAATATAATTTTTTTTAAAAAGCTTGTGAAGTGTAAGTTCCCCTTTGAATAACTGCAAAAAGTATTTTGGTTTTATTGTCTGGTGAGTGTCAAATTGTATCAGCATCTATCTAACACTTTTAGCCTTTCATTATCATCAAATGTTGTACAGCTAAGTCACAGCAGAAAAAAAAAATAAAAAAAATAAAAAATATATATATATACACACATATATATACACATATATATACATACATATACAAACACACAAAATTTTTTTATTAAATTGCTCAAAGATTGTTTGACATCAGGAACACCATGCCCAAAGACTCTACACACTATTGCTGAAACAATAAGCTGTAGTAATGATGGTGTTTACGAGTGCACCATGATGTGCCATTTAAGGTGAAACGTAAATGTTAAAGAACTTTTCAACTATATTCTCTTCCACAAGACATGGACAGAACATGGATATTATGATAATACTTTACTATTAATAGGAGCATAGATTCAGAGTGCAAAGAGCCTTATATGCAGGTCAACAGGATACCACCTGAATACTTAAGAAGATTTAAGAGAGTTACATACTCAGTGACATAATAGTAAAGTATCAATGAGATACAAGGCTATTCCATCACGAATACAGATAATCGTAATTTCCATAATAAGTACATACAGCCAAGAATTCTTTAAGACGATCTTCAATGCTCCCTTTGTGAATTGTGAACAGCGCTGCAGCAATCTGGTTGATCGCTTTTGCCAAGCAATGAATGTTGTTGCAATGACCTAAAAATCAAAAGATAATGATTACATAATTAAACTTGGTTATTTTGTTGTAAATTAGGAGACAAAAAAAAATCCACAAAACCAGAAACGATGGTTCTGGACATAAACCGTATTAACAGAGATGAGGACATAGATTCCGACTATCATTTTCCAAAGCACAATTCACTTCCTCTTAAAGGACCACCATAGTGCCAGGAAAACATACTCGTTTTCCTGGCACTATAGTGCCCTGAGGGTGCCCCCACCCTCAGGGTCCCACTCCCGTGGCGCTGAAGGGGGAGGAAGGGGTAAATCCCTTACCTTTTTTCCAGTGCCGGGCTCCCTCGGCGCTGGGACTCTCCTCCCCTCTTCTTCCAGCACGTGCGGGCGCATTCAGCCAGTCTCATTGAAAAGCATTATCAATGCTTTCCTATGGACGCTGGTGTCTTCTCACTGTGAAAATCACAGTGAGAAGCGCAGAAGCGCCTCTAGCGGCTGTCAATGAGACAGCCACTAGAGGCTGGATTAACCCATAGGTAAACATAGTAGTTGAAACTGAAACTGCTAGGTTTACAGCAGAAAGGGTTAATCCTAGATGGACCAGGCACCCAGACCACTTCATTAAGCTGAAGTGGTCTGGATGCCTATAGTGGTCCTTTAAACCTAGATTGTAAGCTCATAAGTAATCTTCCTATATAAATATGTTGTGAACGCTAGAGTTTAAATTCACAGCAGGGTCGTCATATAACTCAAATTATACGACACTGTGTAATATGGAGGTACTTTATAAATATGAAACCATAGCATTGATTAATGAAAATTCCCAACAGGATTAGTTTAAGGATTGAATTCGCTAAAAATGGCAGGGAACATCATGTCCTATCCAATACCAACCACAGTTAGACAAGACAAAAAAAAATATATAAAATTCATTGCTTTTTCCTGTAAACCTCCCACATGAAATATAGACTAAGCTGTACCTATAAGACATCTAACAGACTACATCGTGTAGGGTTTGTCTAAAGTGCTTTACACACATGCACAGCCATTTAGTTGTGTATGTTTGTTTGAGACAGCAGTGTTGGTGTATAAGAAATATGTGAAGGTAATAATTTCAGGATCACTCGCATGATCTTTACGGACTCCCGAGAAAGTCACACGTGTTTGTGCTGAAATGTTCAGGGGTATTTGTGGTGCACATGTCCAGCCATCTGAGGCTGTGTATGATTGTTATATGAAGTTCTTTGCTTTGTTACTTACTAAATTATAGCCTCTATCATTTGTATGTTATTATTTATTAAGCGCCAACAAGTTCTGTAGCGTTGTACAATGGGTGGACTAACAGACTCATGTAACCAGACGAGTTGGACACACAGGAACAGAGGGATTGAGGGCCCTGCTCAATGAGCTTACATGCTAGAGGGAGTGGGGTATAATGACAAAAGGTAAGGGTAGGGTAGAAAAGTAGGTTGCTAGGATAGTATTAATTGAGGGCCTAGTGTTTTGTTTTGATTACAGTTGAAGGAGAGGAGTCAGGCTGCAGAAAGGGAAAGCTGTTCACAGTTTAATTGATATGCTTTCCTAAAGAATTAAGTTTTCAAAGATTTTTTGAAGGAGTGGAGACTGGGTGAAAGTCTAACAGCGAGGGGAAGGGTGTGGGAATGGTGCAGCCCTAGAGAAGTCTTTAAGGTGAGCACAAGAGGTAGGAGTATAAAAGAGGTTAGACGTAGGTCTCCAGCAGAGCGGAGGGGCCTAGATGGGACATATTTGTGTATTAGTGAGGATACGTAGGTAGAACGGATGGTAGCACCATTGACTTAGAGGAAAACAGACAAAGGAGTAGCAACACTTGAGGGAGGGAAGACCAGAAGTTCTGTTTTGGATACGTTCAGTTTAAGGAAATGAGCAGCCATCCAGTTGGAAATAGTAGAGGCAGTCAGAGACACGAGTCAAGAGGGGTAGCGAGAAATCAGGGGATGACAGATAAATTGATAGAAATGATACTGGAAGCCGAAGGAGCTGATGAGTTTACTAAGGGAGGCAGTGTAGATTGAGTGATGTAATGTTATAATAATTATCTATTGGTTGTTATATGTGACTGTACAATAAAGTGATTGATTATATAATTTTGGTGTGCATCCTTTTGTATCTAGATTGATTTCTTGGCATTATATGGGATGCCTCAATGCTAGCACTTCTTTATAATTTACCTGTACAACCTTTACCATTTTCTTGATTACCAATATTTACTATCCACATAGATTTCCAAGAGTTTGGGTTTATTATCCATACCTTCAATTGCAGGACTGTACTGTGACATCACATTGCTGGCCAGAGTTGGAAGAGAAACTGCCACGAACACCATCAGAAGGCAGGCAATTTTGTATTCTTCTTCAGGACTGATTGTTTCTGTAGAATAAAACAAATGCATTATAGCAAGACCATTAGTCCCACTTCGGGTGAGAAAGTTTTAAAGCCTTCAAAACAAACATTGTATAGATAATAGAAATGCACTCAATCCTTCGTGGTGGAATCCTGGGTGCAATCATGGATCAGCACCAGCACCAAAGGGACCAAATATCAAATTCAAATGTAGAAAATGATCCATAAGCTAAAGATGGTTGAAACGCCTTTTTGGAACAGTTCTGACCATGTTCGTTCTGAATCAAATGTAGAAAATGATCCAGGCACTCCAAGATATTCCAAGAAATAGGACATTTTATTGGACCCAAGCACAAAAAACCCCCAAAGTTTCAACCCCTTAGGGCCTTTATCAAGTCTAGGTGCTTGATAAAGGCCCTAAGGGGTGTAAACGTTGTTTTTGGTGCTTGGGTCCAATAAAATTGCCTATTTCTTGGAGTGCCTGGATCATTTTCTACATTTGATTCAGAACGAACATGGTCAGAACTGTTCCAAAAAGGCATTTCAACCAACTTTAGCTCATGGGGTTAAATTCCAAGACTATAGTATATTAGAACCATAATAAAACCATTCTAAAAATATTGTAACATATCCCTTACTATACACTAAGGAGCCATAAAAGTAATCATATATTCACTGTGTTTACTTGGCAAAAAGCCGCTAGATATTAATTTCAAAGTGCACCACATGACTGCTACAGCATACAAATGTCTTTCGAGGATGGGGGGGGGTCATAGAACATATGTGACTGCCAGGTAAAGCAACTAACGTCAGGCTTGTTTTGACTTTAGCAGTAGTTTTGAGTTTTAGACACTCAACTAGAATGCTATTCGCAACTTCCATTCAAATAATGCGTGTACAAAGGCTACTTTGCAAAATAAAGCATAGCCCTTAAAGCCACAAATTCCGTTCCACATAAGCAAGGTATTTAAGCATTTTCATACATCTATTTTTTCACATACATTGTATATGACACATTTTATCTGAAATGGTCTGTGTGCAGTGACCCTGTCAGTTTAACCCATTAATTGTAATTATTGCAGTTCTTGATAAACGGCAATATTCTATAGCACTATATTTTACCATAATGGGATTAAGAAAAAACAAAACATACCTGATTTTTGAGATGACAATGCCACAACTAAGGCAGGATCTATTTCACATGGCAATCCAGCTGCAGATGACAGTTCATACACATTCATTGCAACCTAATAGAATTAATGAGAAAGACAACACAAGTATTTATGTACCAGAACCATTCAGTATTAAAATAACCATCACCTCTGCCACAACCTTAATGAATACATATAGTGTAGATTGGAGAACAGACAAATCCTTCGATAGAATCAGAAAATTATAATAATTATAAAAAATACTGAGCACCAAAGTAGGGAATTTGTAATGGCACTGCTTTCATCCTAACTCTTACATAGACAGAGTATAGACCTACACCTCGGAATCTACAGGAAATCCTGGAAAGTATAACTTCCACACAGGTGATGCGAGACCGTAGGATTTTGAGTGCACGTAGCACACAATAGAATGAATACCCCCTTTACTACATAATAACCAGTTCCAAAATAACTATGAATGCAGAGTCACTCAAATTACATTCTGAGCGTATCAGACCATTTGTAATGGATACATTATTAAAGCTGTTATTGGATGTTGCAAATTCCTCTGCACTTGTCTAGAAGTGATCTACAAGAATTATGAAATTGGTGGTCTGTATAAAACTCATTACCTTCATGTCAGTCTCCCTTGGAATGTGATCTTTGAAGTCTTCAACAGAACTTACAAGAAAAGGAATGTGGTAAGATAAGACCTATAAAGAAAGGAGAAATGTTTTCACTGAAATGCTTTTACTATATCAAGTCAAACATGTTTTGTCCTATACATTTAAGTAATAATTCAGACAGGTAGTAAGATATAAGAAAATTAGCAGGTTACATAGTTACATAGCTGAAAAGAGACTTGCGTCCATCAAGTTCAGCCTACCTCACCTTTGTTTTTTGCTGTTGATCCAAAAGAAGGCAAAAAAAAACCCAGTTTGAAGCACAATTTTGCAACAAGCTAGGAAAAAAAATTCCTTCTTGACCCCAGAATGGCAGTCAGATTTATCCTTGGATCAAGCAGTTATTACCCTACATTGAAAGATTATATCCTTGAATATTCTGTTCTTGCAAGTATGCATCTAGTAGCCGCTTGAACATCTGTATGGACTCTGATAAAACCACTTCCTCAGGCAGAGAATTCCACATCCTGATTGTTCTTACAGTAAAAAAACCTTTCCTTTGCCTTAGACGAAATCTTCTTTCTTCCAGTCTAAACGCATGGCCTCGTGTCCTATGTAAAGTCCGGTTTGTGAATAGATTTCCACACAATGGTTTGTATTGGCCCCGAATATATTTGTATAATGTTATCATATCCCCTCTCAGGCGACGTTTTTCTAAACTAAATAGGTTTAAATTTGTTAACCTTTCTTCATAGCCGATATGTTCCATTCCTTTTATTAATTTTGTAGCCCGCCTCTGCACTTTTTCTAGTGCCATAATATCCTTCTTTAGAACAGGTGCCCAAAATTGCACAGCATATTCAATATGGGGTCTTACCAGTGATTTATAAAGAGGCAAAATTATATTCTTGTCCCGAGAATGAATGCCCTTTTTCATGCATGACAATACCTTACTGGCCTTGGCCACTGCTGATTGACATTGCACATTGTTGCATAGTTTGTTGTCTATAACAATTCCCAAGTCCTTTTCATGTGTTGTTATCCCTAATTCGCTTCCATTAAGGGTATACGTTGCTTGTGTATTCTTTACGCCGAAGTGCATAACTTTGCATTTTTCAACATTAAATTTCATCTGCCATTTGAGTGCCCAGTCCCCCAGTCTATCTAAATCCCTCTGCAGCAAAGTAATATCTTGCTCACATTGTATTGTTTTACAAAGTTTGGTGTCATCTGCAAACACTGAAACATGACTTTCAATGCGTCTTCAAGATCATTTATAAACATGTTAAATAGAAGGGGTCCCAGAACAGACCCCTGAGGGACACCACTTGCCACCTCTGTCCAGCTTGAAAATTTACCATTAATGACAACTCTTTGTACTCTGTTTTTAAGCCAATGTTGTACCCAAGAACAAGCATTTTCATCTGGACCGATTTCCTTGAGTTTGAACACTAATCTATTGTGTGGAACTGTATCAAATGCAGGTTACCCAGGGGACAGTTCATTTGGGGAGCAAAACATGTTAAAGGACAACAATACACACTCCGACCACTTCATCTCAATGAAGTCCTGTAGATATACAGTGGGACCTCGGTTTACAAACGCCTCAGTTAACATAATTTTCGGTTTACAAATGAAAATTCATTGAAAATAATGCCTCGGTTTACAAATTTGTTTAGCAATACAAAGCAAGTTTCCCCAGGATGCATTGCACCTGGGAGGTTTATAGCACTGCCCCCTGCATGCTGTAGCCTGTGGGTAGCACGTGGAGGTGTTGGAGCAACTTTTGCGTAGAGTTTTGAAGCTATTCTGGAAATTGTTTGCAGTTGTTTTGGGACTTTTTGGTGCATTTCTCAAGCTGTGGAAAGGTAGGGAGCTGATCGTTGTCGTTTGCATGCCTTTTATTGTGTGTTGCTTTCCATGCCAGCTCATTTTGACTTTTTTCTGACCTCCAGAACGGATTAATTGGTTTTAAATGCATTCCTATGGGAAACCGCGTTTCGGTTTACAAATTTTTCGCAATAAGAAACGTCCCGGAGAACGCATTAAATTCGTAAACCGAGGTCCCACTGTAGCAACATTTTCAGGGTTTTGCAGGGTAAACAGCTTTAGTGGCTGTCTTCCTGATAGCTGCTATAGCAGCTCCCACTGAATAACCAAATGAGACTCAATCAAATGCTGCTCATAAAAGCATTTGATTGGCATAGTACAGTCTCATCATTCTCATACTGAATAGTTTTAGCTAAATATTTTGGGGGCAGCCTTTATCCACTTACATTTAAAAGCTTATTTTTTAGTTCTTTAAAGAGACCAACACTATTTGACTACACAGTAATATGTGATATTTTTTGTTAATTCCAAAACTGTGCAGTTCTCTGACAAACTAGTCAGTGGTATGATACACACTTTGTCCTCAATCCCTTAAAATTCTTGTTAAAGAAGCTCTGTCTCCTTCTGGGATCTTTGCATATTTTTGTGGGTTATTACCACTCAAAGACATTTGGACTATTGATGGACAATTTGCGTAGTGTATAGCTCAGATTTCAATAGCCAAATGGTGGAAATCTTCATACTATTTTTATAACATGAGATACAGCATATACTGGCTAATATTGCATTATAACGGCAAATTAATACTATATAAAGTAGGACAACTAGTCATCCAATTGGTAAACAACCAAAAAAGTTAATCTAGATTTTCTCATCAGAGTGGATACGGATGGATATATCCACTCAAATGTGCAACCACCCACCCCCCAATTTAAAAAAAAAAAAAAAGCTATCCTACTTGAAACATTTAATATACCAAATAAAGTACAACATATCTTACATCTCTTAGGGATTCCTGTGCAAGCGAGCGAAATGACAAAATAACTCCAATTATAGTCATCCTCTTTAAGACGCTGTCAACAGCTGCAGAATAGGAAGAAAAATAAATAAAAACAAAACAGCATTCATATGGCTATAAAAACGTGCATATACTGGTATCAAAAAGAGTGCAAATGCATATCAATTTTTTTTTCTGAGGTACAGTGGAGGAGATCAAGGATGGCGCATACAGAATTAATAAGCTGCAAAGGATAATTTCCATCCCCAGGCTGTGTAAACAGAAGGTATTTCAGTTCCTGTGAAGCCACTAGAATACTCCACCCTCTAAAGCAATGTCAGGCATTATCAGAGAACTCACATGCAGTACCACTCTCCAGTGGGCAATATATTTGCAGCAATAAAAGTTTCCAGTACTGCAGATTGAAGATCTACCACAATGCCAGAGATGCTGCATCAGCTATTTAAGTAGACAATGCAGAATAAAAGGTTTGCAAATAGAAAGAATCTCTTACATGACAGTCTTTTGAAAAGTGCCGCCATCTGCTCTGGTTTATCGAAACTTGTCCTCATTTGCGTTAAAACCTCAACATTTTCCACCACCAGTTTCTAAAAGGAAATAAATACAATTATGCGACAGAAAACATGTATTGTTTACATCACACTGAAGGTTTATAACGGTATCCCTTCCAATTTAAAGTAAGTTCTGCACTCTGGTATAACTATAGTGGATCATTATTACTTAAAAATATATTGGGCACACCTGACACTGAAAGTGAGAGTCTAGTAAATATAAAAGCACAAAACACAGCTTTTACATAATAAATAGACTTTAAAGAAAAAAACATTTTGGAGAACGTAGTTTTATGTAGTGTGCTTCATGGATGCTTTTCAAAAATAGACAAGGGCAAATGAATAAGAAAGAACACATCTTGGCAGTTTAACCGAATGTAAAAACAAGTGAAAAGGGAGCATTTATTCCACTCCAACTGAAAGACAAGCTCTGTAAATTAAAGGCTTGCAACAGGAGGAATGAGGACTAGGTACAATATTGACAGGGTAATTGTCTCATTAAACCCAGAATGACAGCACATTGGCTGAGGCTCTTCTATAAAAATGCACTAATATCTAGCCTTCATTAAGAATCTGCTCCCATAAAAGTACAGAGGGATTGTTTCAGGCAGTAAATAAAATGCAATGCACTACTTGAATTCAAACAAGAATGGAAACATTCTCAGCCTTGCATTACAGATAGGAAACTTTTTTTTAAAGTTGAAAGGTCACTTCTCAGGAATTATTCCCAATTAATTTTTTTATTTACTTACACTTATTTGCACATCATATTAGTTTATGAAAAGTTAGCAATAAGCAGTTTTTGCTTATTTTATTTGGACTGGATCACATGCAAGCAATGACAGACGTCATGCCTTTTAATGCATCTCATGTGCAAATTTGTTTACAGTTTATTAGAATGGTAAGTTAAGTTAATGTAAACAAAAGGCATGAGCTACAAAAAAAGTAAACACCATATTTTTTGAAAAATAGTTACATGCATGGTACAGTATAAATATATATTAAAGTGATCCTGTAGTGCCAGAAAAACAAACCCGTTTTCCTTGCTTTATGGGATAATATGTCCCCCTTCAGCCCCTTACCTGAATTCAGTGCAGATTAGACCACCCCATATGTAAGCATAGATAGCATCAGATAACAGAACAAAAGGCCATTTGGATTCTGGAAGCGCCCCCAGTGGCTGTCTGATAGACAGACACTGAGGGCAGACTTAGAGCTATAATGTAAACAAAAGGGTCACATCACCCAGACTACTTCAGTTAAGTAGTCTGGGTGCCTACAGTATCCCTTTAAGGGACAGATACTATCCATAACTTCAGAAAATAAATCATTTAATATAAAATACACAGGGAAAAACCTCAGCATGGGTTTCTGGAGACTTTCTTTAACTACTGATAGTTATTCCTGAATGTCTTGATGGCATTTGTCCTATAATACACCCTTTGCTATATAAGAAATAGACACATACACTTTAGTCTCTTTGGAAACATCGCCAACATATGACATTTTTGAAATGAGTGTATATTACCTTTAGTTCAGCCACTTGGGAAGAAATATGCCACATGAGACTTTCACTAAGAAACTTCATGCCATATGGTCCCAGGAGCTCTGAAAGTGCTCTCATCTCTGCATAATAATAGAGAAAGTCACATTTTAATGAACCAGCTAAAACACAACAGGAATGCAAAACAACAAAAATAAAATAAAAAAAGATATCCAATAGTGCATAGTCCGATATAACATTAAAGCAGCTTTTAGCAGTCTAAACTATATATTTCTGCTCAAGGTGTCAATTTACCTCAGTCAATTACTTTGATATAGTTTATGTGTTAAGTTTATATATAAATTCTAACACAAACTTGCACAAGTTGTGAAATTTAACCGAATATCCAGCATACAAACTAAATACATAAAAATTAGATAGGAAAAAAGCAAAATCATCATACAGACAGTGTTAGGCCAGAGTACAATTGTAGGGGGACATGATATTTGAATAAAAGGAAAATTATATAGATATCAAGAGGTTTGCCAGCATTGGAGGGAGCCACAGAAGTTCCAGTATTTGACAGCATAGGAAGAAGTGGAGAGAATTCAGAGAAGAAGGAAGCCAGAGACTCTCCAGGGCGGCCCAGAACAGAAGATACATAGCTTTGGTGATTATTTAAAGGGACATTTTGCTTTTTTTTCTCTCCAAATTGTGCTTACCAGATATGTCAGAATATTCCTCAGCATTAAATGTTAGTTCGTTCTCTGTGGGTAGGTTAACAAAGGCTTTCATTGCTGGGAAATAAGCTATATGGCCATTGCTAACTTGCCTTAGTAGTGTTTCCAAATACCTAGAGGAAAAACCAAAACACGTAAATCTTGTCAGTCACAACCATAATGCAGACCAGACCAACAGGGGCAAATTAAAGGAAATGCAGAAACAGAACACGTTGACTGGAAAGGTGGCCTAAATGTCAGGGAAGACTTAAACACTCCAGACATCATAACCATTTATGTTCCTTGTAGAGATCATAGCGAGGGAAGCCCCCTGTTTATTGTGACCCATGATACGATTAATTACTGCTGCAAGAATTTGATAGAAGCACTGCAGTTATAGCACTGCCCTTTCCTCTCCCAGAGACATCAGATCCTGTATAGTGTGTAATTACATGGCATGTTGACAGCGTACAACACTCAAGTAAATTGTACAGGCCGTTTTAAAGCTTCATATGAGAGAGAAGGCATGTGCAGGGACAAGTTCAATCATTCAATATAAAAAATGAGTGAACCAAAAAGTCAACAGGACATGACTATTCACCTGCAGAATAGTTGAATTCATTATTTTAATGCAAAGATGGAAATATGCATTTAACCACACATTAATATTTCCAAAAATGGTGTATGGTGGGCAACAGCCTGGGGACTGAACTTTAAAACAAAGGAAAGATGACCAGCCTGCGACCCTCATTTGTAGTCATTAAATCTGGGTACTATTCCCACAATCACTGGAATCTATCATCAAGTAGGATTTAACATGGTTTAAGAGGCTATCGCGGCAAGAACTCACCAATTAGTGTATAAACTGGTGATTGTTGGCTCTCCATGGCTGTCCAAATGCTGAGTTTGCTGAAGCAGAACATTGTTGAAAACCCTCGTAATGTCAATCTGCACATAGTTTTCTATTGACTGGAGTACAGTCATGTAGGCTCTTACACTCGTTAATAGCTCTGAGGGTTTTGCAATCTCTTGTGTGGCTTGATTGTACATGGTCATGCCAACAATGGACCTGCCAGCAGAGAAAGATTTTATTAAAGCATGACACAAAACAAGATTAGATCAAAATTACCAGTTCTATAAAAGAATGTAAAGCTGCACAGAAGAATGGAAATGTTTTGCTGAAAAATAAATGGGTAGCGGACATTTTACTTCAGGTGCCCTGAGCCAACACGAATATTTTAGTGACCAGGGAGAGAAATGTTCATGTGGAACTTTTATAAAAAAATAAAATAATCTTATGAAGCATTAGTCTCTACTAAGTTATAAAATACATAGGTCATATGAATAAATCTTTTCATACACATTGCACAAGGCTAAAACTGTGAAAATCATCTATAACTTGCATTAACCTTTTCTCCCCCGTGTGATGCTCAGTTTTCTTTATTTGTATGTTAAAAACATGACAAATTATATTAAAATCCTGTTCAGTCCTGTCACATACTGCAATGGAAGAGGAGAAACAAACAATGTTTCTTTCCCTCCTGTGTGTTGACTGACAGGTGCAAAAGGGCAGCATTTTTTAATATTTAAAGGGAGTTAAAAAGAAGAGTGCTCAGTTCCAGGATAGATGTTAATACAGTATGGAGTTCTAAATTAAAATCTTTCCGAATTTACAAACATGTTTAACCGCAAAAAAATTCTGTGAAGTGACGGTTCCCCTTTAATAAGATTTATATAGTCCATAAGAGTAGAAAAGCAGCAAGGAGCTGGCAAGTCTAAAGATTTTACAAGCTGCTGAACTGAGAACCTTGATTTACTTATAAGGTTCATAAGATACTTCATTAAAAAATAAATTTTACACTCACTGGCTTCTACTTAGGTGACAGATCTGCTATTCTACTTCAGTGACTTAAACCGTAAAGCTAAAACAATGTGTGATACTTGTCATTCCAGAGAAGTACTTACTTGGTAAAACGGATTTCCAAGTGCGAGGTCAAATACTCCCTCGGGGTAAATGTGTGCTCCCAAACCACCATATTTGGTGCATAGTTGATTGAGAAACAGAGCTCTGAAAGTGCAGTGTGCAATTTATCCAAGCTAATGAAAAGAAACAAAAACATTAAGTACAAGAAAGAAAAAAAACAAACACTTTAAATAGGATCTGATCAAAAAAATGCCAGTCCTTTATATTGTCGCAGTGCCAAAACAATGCTGAATTTGAAAAATAATCAAAAAAATCGTCTGACTTTTTATGTATAAGTTTAATTATTTTGCTGCTAAATTGTGCTGCAAGAAAACTGGTAGATATGACAAGCAAAGTGTCAACTTTTGAAAACGCATGCAACAGAGTTCAGGAATTCAAATGCATAACACAAGTTTTTTCTTTTTTCTTGATATGTGTATTCTGCTAAACAGATATTGTCAAGTCATGTTATATTATGGTTCAACAAGAGATACACTGGGGTGCCTAAAGCCACCTTGAAGTAAGCCATGAATAACAGACTTTAAGGCTGTAAATTAAAAATGCTTTTTTCACTTGGCAATACAAACTACACATCAATTTAGGGTTAAGGCTTCAAGTAAACATGTAAATTATAGGTGCTGCTGAAGGTAAATATTAAGAGAAAAAAATGAAAATAGGTCTGCCTTGAATTTATTTTTTTCTTTCATTGCAATCCACTTTAATATAGCAGTTTGAATTCAGAATGAAAAGTGTCATCAGCCTCACAACCGGATTACGTGCTTACAGAATTCTGACCCAAACTTATAAATGGAGAAACTATACAACTAAAGTTGTATACTAAAGTGTGTTATATATTAAAGTCAACTTGGATTTTTGGCCTAAACCTTGAAATTCAGTTTGAAAAAACAAAAACAAAACAATTAATTACAAACAATTCACACTTAAGTGAATAACCATAACTGCACAGATCTAATCCAATAGTAAAACCTGGTTTCAATATCCTCCTTACTGTGCATGCGTTCATGGACAGTTCACTACTTTTCAGACTACTAAACTGCAGGGCTACGTATATACTGACAAACCATGGAATGGCTGCTATCCGTTTATTGAGCAGTTCCAATCCTCCTGTGTGACGATTGGAGAAAACTGTTCATCTAATAATCCCCTGAACAGGGAAAGTTGGGGTAAGATCAGTTCCCATATACCAGAAAGATATGCTCTTGACTCACTAAGCATATTATTTTGTATATTTTTTTTTTTTGCCAATGTTTAATTCTTCAAATAAACTTCGGGTAAAACCTATGTTTCACCCTGTTTAACTAAAATGCACTTCTGCATTACCTAAGGCACAGAGATGGGGCTGTATTTTATGTGCCATGAGAACCTCATTTTTTGGTCAAAGCAATTGAAAATGTTTGGAGAAAAAAAAAAAAAAAAAACTAGGGGAAAACGCTCAGATTTTCGGTGTCATAAACAAATACCAAAATGAGTTGCAGTAATTACAGTAGTTGGATTGCCCTTTAACAGCTGAATTTTGCAAAATATATTTATTTGTTACGAATTTAAAAAATGTGCAACATTTAGGGATGTGTTTAAAGGTAAAGCTGAATTACAATGGCCATGTCAGGTGTCCTTTAAGAAATGTTTTTTAAACTGCTTCGTTGCCCCCTTTTGCTTTCAATCCAAAAACCGTGTTAAATGTCGTCAAGTGCTACTTTTACATAGCCTGTAATTATGCATTGTCACTTGATATGCCTAGTCTCCTAAAGAATTTCATTTAAAATATATATATATTTTTATTATGTGTGGCTTCAAGCATAAATGTCTAATATTGGACACAATGAATGATTTTATTTCATCAGCATTCATCAAACACTCACTAAGGAATGCAGTGCACTGCCATTATGAACGGCTACCATAAAAATAGTCTGTGATGGACCATGAAAAATTAGTCTTTTAGCTTGTTACTAAAATATATATCAGTGCATTCAGAAGATAAACCAAAGACATTAAACAGAACAATGGAAAATGAAGAAAAAATAAAATAAAATACTACTTTATCAGTTTCAAAAGATTTAAAGTGACAGTATATGCAACCGGTCCACTTAATCTCATTTTAGTGATCTGGGTGCAGTGTCCCTGTCCCAATAACCCTGCAGCTGAAAACATTGCAGTTTTAGAGAAACTGGAATGTATTCACTACAGGGTTAAGACTGCCTCTAGTGGTTGTCTGTCTACCAGACAGCCACTAGAAGCGCTTCCTGCGGTTTCACAGAGTTTAACTCCATGAAACGACTTTGGATGTCCTCACGCTTTGCATGAGGATGTCCACTGTCTTCTAAATCCACAGAGGAAAAAGTTATTTCAATGCTTTCCTATGGGGAAGGCCTAATGCATGCGCATTTGGTTACCGCTCGTGATGACGTCAGAGAAGGCGGAGAGGAAGCCGACGCCGAGACTAAGTGGTAAATAAGATTTTTTTGTTAGTTTAAACCCTTTGATAGCCAGGGGTTATTAAAACAAAGGTTTCAACCAAGAACTAAATCTCATAGAAGACGCAAACGGCATACATCAAACCTTTACTAGAAAATACAATTATAATGGCACAAAATGTTTAACTGAGATCACAAAGGTTTCTAAAAGTAAACCTTTGGTTAGCTTAAACACATTTCGGTTTGTATCATACCTAGGTATCCACTGATAGAACAGAACATTAGGACAAAGTTTATCCACACACAATATGGGAACAGAAATCTTACTTTGTTACCACAAGCCTATTCTTTCTCATGCTCTCCACTCCAGGCTTTTCCCGCTCAGGTTCTCCCTTCTTTCCAGTCTGCTTTTTTGACTTTTTATTAACAGCTTGACTGATCGTTTTGGCACAGTGCTTTGGCAACAACTGCAGGAGAAGAAAAACATGACAGCTCTTCATGTTTAGCTAGGCATCTGATTTGCCCTACATATTTTTATCCCATTTTAGGAACAATTAAAAGGAGGAAAAAAATAAAATGAAATCTATAAATTAGAGAAATCTGAAATTACCTGGTCACTAAGTGTACACTGTTCTGTGCAGATATCCGTGATAAGATTTCGAGCTTGTTTTGCCATTTCATCTAAAAACATGTTACATAGCGAGAGACTTCGATCTCCAATGTGATGTCGCTGTGAACAAAAATAAACACATACTTCACCGTTCAGTGTGGTTATGGTGGAAAGATCTTACCCTTGCAGTTCTGCCTAATCTGCAATAGTTTTGCAGTAAAAACACTTTGAGATATATCTATACACACACACACTTTAAGAATGCAACATTAAAGCCTTCCATGTTTGATTACAAGATTGTCCATATTTCACATCCAGTGTTTCCAAGCTCAAACGGTCTTTAGGACTTGTAGGCACCTTCCCAGGGGCATGTATGAAAGACCAACTATTCCCTTTGATCAGACCCATGTGAGTACGCACAGAACTGTTTAATACAGGTAGATGTAATTCTGATTGTCATTCTAATACTTCATATAGAGAAGAAATGCTTTTTTGTATGAGGCCAGTGATGATATAAAAAAATTCACATAAGTGGGTGCAACTTTGATGCATGGACTCACACTACTGCGCCAGATGTCCAAATAGAGAAAGCATTCACACAACATACCTCCTCGGGACAAAGCTCATGAGTGCAGCTCATAAAATGAGTGCAAATTAGTGGGAATGAGATGGAGTATCTTGACTGGGAAGGCAGCTCCAAACACTGTTGAAACATCTTCTCAAACGCTCGACTGTAAAAGCTATGGAAAGAAAAACAATGATACACATGATGCACATTATGTGGAGGGAGATAAATTCAAAATCGAGGGAACCAAGACTTGAAAATTACCACCAGCTTCATTGAAAAATACCTTTGGCCTAAAGTTTATAGAATTAAGAATGTACAAATGAGTATACGGTGGCCTCTCAGAAGTTATGTAGCAGCAATATTATGATTTAATTTTGTGATTTTTGCTATATTTATCACTGCTAAAGAAAAAAAAAAAAATCTTCAAACCTTAATAAAGAAGTTAACATGTGCTATGAACAGAACAACACTCACATTTAACCTTTCAGTGCCAGAATGTGTTGTGGTTTTCACCTAACTCAGATGAATGAGGCTATTTATGTTTAACTACCGTGAATAGTGATGGAATTCCATTATTAGATCAGAGACCTTTAATGTTTATACTCTATTTTTATAGAATCTGTCACCTTCTGGGGTCTTCTCATATTTTTTGCAGAGATCCCAGATTGTGACATTCCTGGATGGTATACAGCAGGCTAGGAGAGTTGTGCAGGTGTGTTATACTAACCTAATGCGTCCCCCCTGCAGGTGCGGTCATCTTCAGCATCTGGCGCCAGGAGCTCACACCAGTGCTGTACTCTTGCACATGAAAGAGTACAACACTGAAGTCTATGGAGGATCCCACAGCAGCCTCCACAGATATCGTGCAAATAGTGAGATAATGTCTTATTCCATTGGCTGTGGGGAATGTCAAAACTTGGCAGCGCACCACCACCTTTTGTCAAGTATTGTCACGTTGAGGATGTACTGTAAGACTAAGTTATTCCTATTATTTCTTATATCTTAACCGCATTGTAAGTTGGATGAAATTCCAACACAGTCTTTATATGATCATTTTATCTTTATGTAATGCTCAAATTCTCTGAACAGCGAGACAAGCAACCCACATTGGTGATGAATAAATTAGTCACCATTTAGTAATGTGTCAGGATCTACAATTGGTCATAAACCTACACTTCAATACATTTCCTAGAGAAATTGGCCAGACCCTTAAATGTTCCAATAGGAACCATTCAGTATACTGAAACCCTCTATACTTAAAGGGATAGTAATATCTGTTTACCTCGTGGTTCTACAGTCATTTACTGTGGTGTTACTCTTTAAAGCTGCCACTGTTCAATAAAGGTCCTTATAAGAGGGTGGACAAAGTAGTTGGGAGTGATAAAGTTGTTAAAGCCAATAAATGTTCAACTAATGTGTTTTAATAAAATACAGATGTAGAAATGCTCACCAGAAAATCGAGAGATCTGACGTTTCCACCAACATTTCCACTAAGGAATCTACCATTTTAGTATGGAATATTATAGTGTTCATCATCTTCCCAAGTTCCCTATGGTCAGCTAGACTCAGTGAAGCTTTGGAAACACTGGTATAGGCCTATAGCAATGACAGAAAAAAAAAGCAATAAGCATTGCAAAAACAAATACAATATAAATATATATCCAGCACATAGCCACAAAAGTTCTATAGACAAATATTGGACGTACAATGGGTTGCACTAAAGTTCCGTGCTTAGTGACTTTAAACAAGACACAACCAAACTCTAGAGAAGTGGAAACGAGTTCTCTGGAGTAATGACTGTTTTACTATATGGCAGTCTAGTAAAAGAACCTGGGTGTGGCAGATGCCAAGAGAATACGACCGGAATACACAGGGCCTTCTGTACATTTTGGTGGAGAAGAAATAATGGTTTAGGTATGTTTTTCAATGTTTTGGCTGGCCTTGTTTCCACTGAATGGTCACCTTAATGCTACAGGATATACCGACATATACATATATAGGGTGCTTCAAAGTTTGTGGCCCAATTTGGGAATGTCCGTTTCGTATTTGAGCATGACAGTGCCATTGTGCACAAAGCAAGATCCATGAAGACATTGTCTGATTAGTTTGGAGTGGCCAATACAAACATACTCTCTCTTTATAGCTATAGATCGATATCATAATATTACACACACACACACATACCCACATTTGTATTTGCAGTATAATCTCCCTTTTTATCAATGCCTTAAAAAAAACAACCCTATAATGCAATGGCTGCCACAGTAAACGTTATTCAAGACTTTCTGTAACCAACAGAGCAGCCGTGATATTTGAATCTCATAGGATTAAAGTACCATTGTTCTAAACATAAAGCAAAGAGTCTCAAGAAAGAAGGGGTATAAAAAAAAAACCTAAAGGAAAAACAGCTTAAAAAAACATTTGGCAGAAACTTCTGATGAAAATTCCAAAGCTTAAGAGCCCAAGTATTTCATTTTGAGCAGTTAGGGATCTGTTAAAATACTCTGTGCAGATTTCCATGACTCAATGCTAGTGGGATGTTCGAGTTTGTCAGCACATCTTTTGAAGCATGGTTTTACCATTATTTCAAAACAAAGACAAACTACCCAAATATCTTGACTTTAAAGAGGTTTATTTTTTCCCCTCCTTGAAAGAAGGCTGAGAAAAGACAGCTTGTAGGGTTTTTTTGCCTTGAAACTATAATGCATTTTGTTGAGCAGCCTTGTAGATTTGAAGCCAAAAATAATACAAGCAGAAGCCATTCTACACTCATCAAAGCATTCTCAGGTCAGACCAGACAAAGTGCTATTCAGCTACTGTTGCACAGATGTTTGTACAATTCTTACATTCAGATTTCAGCCAACAGATCTCCGATTCCATTTCTGGCTGGCTTTCTAAAGTCTTGCTTGTAAAACAAAGTGTTGCGCTATATAAATAAATAAATAGAATCAATATCTTACCTGACAATTGCATTTCATGGTAAGAGCCCATGAGTGGTGACATATGGGATAAAGGCTCTCTGAACCAGATGAGGTAGGAACACCCATAATGCAACACTTCAGCACACTGCTCCCCCTCTAGGCCCTCCAAAGGTATTCTCAATTTTACATATTGTCAAGTATAGGAGGAGCAAAAGCAGTTAAAAACAGTAAGCTGAGTAGGGTATCTAAAGGACAAACAAGGCACCGGCAGCCAATAAAGGGCAAGCATTCACTATTCAGAAGAAAATCAGTCAGGTACATTTTGTTTACTCACCCCCCCTTTCCCCTTTGGATGGTGATAGACCATCACATATGGAATTGTATACTTGTATACAGAGGGCTTAAAAATGTAAAGTCCTTCGCTACAAGCCAGAGTTTAAAAGTTACTCGCCATTGCAAGACTGGATGACCCATCTAATACTCCAGGGGTGAATTTCTACTCCCAAGGACTAAATTTTCACTCACCATTGGCTATACTTGGTACATTTGAGCAAAGCATGTGGCCATCTCAACACCTTGGGTTGGGAGTGACTGTGACTAAGCGAACAACTACCACAAACACCTTACTGACAAAAGCAATGGTAACAGTCCAGGGGAGGTTTGTTAGCCAAGAAATGCACTTTCTGGATGATGGACTTCAGGCCAAAAGACAAATTATGACTGACGCCTTTTAAACCAAACCGGATCCAAAAAAATTAAACAAGGAAGAACACTTTCTAAAGGGCCTAAAGGCCTCAGCATAGTACTCGAGGAAATTAGTAACATCCAGATAATTCAAACTCTTTCCTATTCATTCATAGAAGGAAGACAAGATGAGAGGACATCAATATCCTGATTCATATTAGTGGAGAAAACCCCCTTTAGCAAAAAGCAATAAGTCTTCAGGACTGCATGGAAAAAAACAGTAGAGGGGATTGCAATAGAGCTGAAATGCCTTCCTGGCAGAGGCACCTTCCACAACAACAATTGAAAACCAGATTAATGCATAGTTCAAAGATGGACATACTGCACCACCTTGAACACCACACTCAGACTACAAGCAGGAGTCGCAGGCCACAACACTGGTTTGATCCATACCAGAGCCTGCACAATGGTCTGGACACTCAGACGTGGATTAAACATACAGTCGAACAGCACCATCTGAACCAAAAATCTGATCCTTTAAGGTACTTGGGGCCACTTATCCAAGCAAACCAGAAGGAACTCCAAAACATGAGAAAGTTTAAGACTTCCAGCTGTAACCATAGAAACACCACAGGTGTTTATGAAAAATGTGACTGGTTACAGACTTGGAAGCTTGAAGCAAGGTCTCAAAGGTTCACTAGGGGAACCTTGTGAAACCCTCTCACACTACTCCAACATTTTAAGTATTGCGTTCAATTTTTGATGTGGCTCGAAGCGCACAATTGTTTAATGGCACAGTAGTTGAAAAGCACAGTTCTAATGACCAGATTGTGATGACAATAAGGTTTGCAGTTTATTCTGAAATGGTTAAATATACAGTAATTATATCACATTTACAATGCACTAACGTACGAATAATGCAAGTGTACTCATAACTGAATATAACTCATTTTAAAGAAAAACCACAGCAATATTTGGAACCATCCCTAAATGGGTAAAAATTACCTGCAACCGAAACCAATCCAATCTCATTCCTCTGAAGTCAAAAACCTCGCCATCTTCCACTGAAAACAAAGCACAAACATTTAAATGACGAGTGCTGCTTACATTTTTTTGACTTTATGTAATAATTTCCCTGCTTGAATGGTGGTACTCTGCTGTACAACATAGAAACAGAATAGGAGACAAAATGATCCAAATTTACATATCCACTTGTAATAGTAACTTTTTTGTTGCCGGACAGAAAAATTTAAAGAGACACTATAGTGTTATGAATACAAAGCTGCATCCCGAACACTAGTATCCCTCTGGCCTCTCAATAAAAAAAAAATAAATAAATAAATTTTCCCCCATTACAATCCTGCAGGATTTTAAGTAAACAGATGGACAGAGGCAGAAAGATTTGGCGCTGGGACACAGACTTTAGGGTTTAACTGTTCGAGAATGATTTAACTCTTTAAAATGAGCTAGCTCCAGGGACCTCCTGGCAGAGTAACTTCATTTTGATGAAGTTGTTATGCTGCCCGGAGTGTTTTTTTAACCCGGCAATGTAAAAATGGCAGGGTTAAGGAGACAGGGACACTGCACCCAGACCACTTCAATAAAACAATGTTGTCTGGGTGCCTTTAATGTCCCTTTAATGTATGCCAACACATTACTAATCTATGTAAAGCCTTCTAGATAAAGATCTTATAATGCATTGTAAAATAAAACAAAGGCATTTAACCAATGGAGGATCCAGCCTTCATTGCTTCAACACTCAAACTCCATACATGAGTTAAGGGATAGCAAGTATAATCTTGCAAAACCATATTCCTTGCAGGTGTAATTGTGACAGTGAAAGACATCTGGTAAATTTATGCATTTTCAACAGTTAAATACAATTATACGTTGGCACAAATTAAAACATGAAAATATATATACTTAAAAACAAAATCACGTTAAATTTATCTTTTAAAAAAAATCTATAAAATGCTATTTACTCCACCATTATTATGGCAAAGTCTTAATATTCTCAGAACTTCCCTCTAGGAAGTATGATATATGAAATGGGGCACAAAAGTATCTACAGAGATAGAGAAAGATGAGGGGGGGAAAGTATAGCGCTATATTATAGACTGCAAATTAAGAACTAATAATACAATCTACAGTAACACTATGGGAATTTAGCTTTTTCTTTCAGTATATCTCTGTAGATATTTTGTATATGCCATTCTGCAGGGACATTGTCAGACTGTATGTGGATATAAAGAGAAGAAGAGAGATTGGGACAGGCGAACAGAACAAAGTTTACCTCAAGTTTGAGCATGTCAGATACCCAAAAATCAATCCCAAGTCAAAATAAAGATGGGATACGTCACCAACAGATTAAAAGTGTCTGAATGGAGGAAACGTATGAAAAAGCCAGGTGGAAGATCCAACAGAGCAAACAACCCTCTGAACTAAAAGCAAAGACATGGAGAGATTTGTGTGATGACTATTCAATTGCCAGAGGAGGAAAAATGGATGGGTTGGCTCACTTTCCATCAACTCTATACTATCCTGCTGGGGACCTGTTCATGGAAACCTTGACGTTCTTATGATGACCAAAAGGGACAATAATATTTTTCTGGTACGCAGGGTAAAAATAAACTTCCATTCTACTATCGATAGCGAAAGGTTAATCTTCAGTGGAAGCAGCACCTACCAGGTGATCTCTGGGAATTGGAAGAGTATCATTTGCTATTTTCCAATATGAGTTGACTGGCATTAGATGGCCAGATTTCTACAGTCTGTACAGCAAACATACATAAAAATTTGGTGCTTATCTTTGGTTTAGTGTAGCCACTGCTAAAAAAACTGCTGCTTTCAAATAGTACTGATGATCGTCAAAGGTAATGAGGTGTACTGTGCATTTATCAAGGCTGTGTTTCAAATATGCCAATTAATTTTAGAAGAGTGGAAATTCTGAGCCCTGCTGTGACGCATGGACTACTCTTACAGCCCAGACTGGTGGAGGATACAGTCCAGGTACACAGTAATTGAAACGCTCACTCAGTTATCAAGATGCGAGGCACTTTGATTAAGAACAGAGCAAAGATGAACCAGAGGTGAGCTTCACAAATTAATAATACTGATCCAGAAGACGTGGTAACAATTGGTTCTCCACCACTAAATGTTAGGAAGAAATGGTTTAACACTGAAGGCAGAAAAATGCAAACTGATGTTAATTTCTCACCCTGTTTTACACTCAGGGAGGTCATAGTGTTCACAAAAGATGACATGATGATAGACTCATCTTCTGGGCAGACAGAGAGATTCTGGAAAGACATAATATTTAAAAATGACTGTTTCCTCAAAGAAAATGCCTGTCATTTATAATTATAAAACAAGAAAATGAGAACCTATGAATTGTATATATTTCTTACATATGTAAAGCTTCTTAAAGAAGTCACCAAACTCAAGAGGACAGCTTATTCCATGCACTAATTATCTTCTATACCTGCAGTAACAGACTTATTCAGGCTGGGAGGAGTTTGATTTTTATGCTAAACACAATATTAGAGCTCCCTCTAGTGTACTTTATCAAATTTGGGAAAGAAAAAAAGAAAATAAAAATTACCACTGGGTTCCAAGACTGTAAAAAACATTAATGCAGAAAAAGTGGCAAAAATTAATTGCAGCACAATCCCAAAAGCACCATAAGGTAATTGCAGAAATTACAATTTCTCACTGGCACTAAATGGTTAAATAAAAGTACACTGGACTCAAAGACTGGGATAAACTACTAATTAAAGGATAAGCCAGCATGTGTGTCTTAAAAACATGTTTTCAAAATAATGCTGGCAAAACATCAGGGAAGATGTAGTCCACAACATTTGGAGAGCTAAAGGTTTCCTACCCCTGACAGACTCATCAAGACATAGCAATATCTCTCTTGATGAGTGTTTGTAACCTATTGCCAAAGCACCTTAATGATTCTACCCTAAGATTTTGGTGTGGTCTTCATCAATTTGTTCTACAGGTTGCTCTATTCCCAAAATAAATCTGAAACTGCTGTACACCTTTAAATCTCCGGGATAACAAATCAATAGGATAAAGGAACCTCTAAACAACTAGAAGAAATGTTTTCAATTAGGTTTTCAGAGTATTTATCTGGAATCCAAGATTTACCTGAACAAGTTCATTCAGAACTACTGCATCAAAGCCAGACAAATACTGTACATAGTATCTCTGCATCACTGGTCCGTATTTTCGTACATGTGCTCGGAGTTCTTCCATGTAAAATATAAGTTCTGCAATGTGCCTTTACAAAAAAAGAAGTCAAGAGAGTGTACTAAATGAGATAAGTTATCCTAATGGGAAAAGTATTCAATTTGATAAAAGGCTATTTATACACTGAACATGATAGTCTTAGTTTCAGATATTTCCCTGTCTGGCCATTTGTAATCACTGCACTAAATGCTCTGGTCTCTGCTCTGTTCCCCTTTTATATATGCATTACAGTTTACATGTTATAATATTTTTAATCTGCCATGATCGATTATCCTACAGGAGCCTGCAGCACTAAATTACTTTGCGTCTGTTAATACAATTACAACTTGACAGATTTAAAATCACAAATATTAAAGTATGCATTTGCCAAGATCACCGTAAAGATACACATAGCATTTTACAAAATAACAGTCTTCTGGTCATTAAACGTTCATTTTAAATGACCATAACATTATGACACTTAAAATAAGTTAACTTCTCAAATGGTGTCCACCAGGTGTCGCGCCCTGACTACAATAAAGTCTCAATAAGAGAAGTTCTCAGTCTGGCCTATACTTGGTGCTATAAGGCTTAGCTCACTGTCCAAAAGTCATCAGCCGATTCTATCAGCCAACGAGCAAGCCTAGAACGTTAGAAAGTACTGAAATGGACACGGTGCTTGGAGTGTTCCTTTAATTGGGTTACTCCAAGTATCATAAACACTACAGCTTGCTGTAGTGGTTATGATGCAAGGAGTATCGTGGCCCAGTTTCCAGGTAATGGGGCAAACCATTTTGCAACAGTTTGCATTGTAACCTGGGTACCAGCTGGGCGCACAGGTCCTCCCTGCTCCAGTGACACACACATGGCTTCTGCAGCCATTACTGGCTGCGAGCATCAGCTGACCTCTCAGCCAATTAATTCAATTGGAAAATAGAAATATGTACAGAATTGATATTAGCCAGCCAAGAACCATTATTCCAGTCCAATGACACTGGCAGCAGAGGGGTTTACCTCCACATGAGCAGTGTTTGAAAGCAAAGCACTGTACTTGCAGACTTTAATCACTGAAGTGGTCATGGTGCTTGGAGTAACTTTCTAAATTTAAACATTTGCAGCTCAAATCCCAACATACTGTCATGTGACCAGATGCTTTCCAATATGTAAGAACTCATCTGATAAACATGGCACTTCATTCTTGAAAAAAAAAAACAAAAAAAAAACAGCTAGACTCTTAAAGGACCACTATAGGCACCCAGACCACTTCAGCTTAATGAAGTGGTCTGGGTGCCAGGTCCAGCCAGGGTTAACCCTTTTTTCTATATACATAGCAGTTTCAGAGAAACTGCTATTTTTATATTAGGGTTAATCCAGCCTCTAGTGGCTGTCTCATTGACAGCCGCTAGAGGGCTTCCGCGCTTCTCACTGTGATTTTCACAGTGAGAAGATGCCAGCGTCCATAGGAAAGCATTGTGAATGCTTTCCTATGGACTGGCTGAATGCACGCGCAGCTCTTGCCGCGCATGCGCATTCAGCCAAAGAGGAGGAGAGCTCCCCGCCCGGCGCTGGAGAAAGAGGTAAGTTTAACACCTTCCTCCCCGCAGAGCCTGGGTATGTTTGCCTGGCACTATAGTGGTCCTTTAAGACTGCCACTAAGGATAATGTTATAATTCCAGCTTGGAGTTAAAGGTATTAACATTTTACATATTTTCACCCAGAAAAAGAAAGTTTAACATACTTATCCATGAAATCATCCGCAACCTTTTTTGGGATATTATCAGCGTGACGGAGCAACCAAATAATTTCATCGCGGGCAAACGATAATGCCATGAACACGAAAAGAGCCTAAAAAGAAACGGAGAGATTATTTTTTATCTGAAAGTCACATCATCTGTGTGCAGATTCTTCATTATTGGACACCACTCAGTCACTGGCACAGGGTTTTATTTTATCTGGCAACCGATATGTTTTTATGGAGAGAAAGTGCTCTAACTAGGGGTTTAAGAGATTAATCCATGTCGACTTTCAGTTTTTCCTAAAGCCTCTTTATTCTGCTTCCAGTTATACAGATCATGTGCTAACAAATGTTTCCTTGTGGAAGTTATATGAATGGTAAGCCTTTGATTGTTGAAAAATGACATCTGTAGAAGAATAGGAATCCAAAGAGCCTCCATTTCCAAAGCCTGCGTGGTGCTATTAGGACTATTATTTGAACATCCATGTTTCACCAGAATAATCTAATTCTTTTAGACATAAAAGCCAGGTAGTACATAGTAATGGGGCTTTATATGCTTTGTTAATCACATCATTGATTTGATTAATAATCACAAAAAAAAGTTTTTATTTTTGTATTGCCTTGTGTGCGCAATGTTTGTATATAGGACAGAAAAGTGAGTGAGTCTCCACTACAATCTACAGCACCACAAAAATACATTTAACAAATTAACTAAGAATTTGGGGTTATCTATTGCATATTAAAGGACCACTATAGGCACCCAGACCACTTCAGCTTAATGAAATGGTCTGGGTGCCTGGTCCAGCTAGGGTTAACCCCCTTTTTTTTTTTTTTTTTTTCTACAAGCATTGCAGTTTCAGAGAAACTGCTATTTTTATAAATAAGTTAATCCAGCCTCTAAAGCCTCTAGAGACTGTCTCATTGACAGCCGCTGGAGGCGTTTGAGTGCTTCTCGCTGTGAAAAATCACAGTGAGAAGACGTCAGAGTCCATAGGAAAGCATTATGAATGCTTTCCTATGAGACTGGCTGAATGCACGCGCAGCTCCTGCCGCTCATGCGCATTCAGCAGAAGAGGAGGAGAAGAAGAGGAGGAGGAGGAGAAGAGCTCCCCGCCTGGTGCTGGAGAAAGGTAAGATTTTAACCCCTTCCTCACCCTAGAGCCCGGCGGGAGGCACCCTCAGGGCACTATAGTGGTCCTTTAAAGTTTACTCACATCATGGAACACACTCTTGCATAAGCTGTGTTTCTACTGTAATTTGCTATGCTGTGGACACTGAAAACACCACAGTAAAAAAAAAAACAGACTCTCTCTACAAACACCACATTAATATAAACATATTTAAAAGATAGCCTTTCCCAAATTGTATGGAAGTAATGCATTACAAACACTACACCCATTCACAACGACATGAGGATTTACTAGAGGTAGAGAATTGTGGGAGTGGTAGATCGTCAACTGGGAGGATTCAACATATGCAAAACATTTTGTCCAGGCCATCTACACACATGGTAGAGTACATATTTATAGAATACCATTACATATAGATAAATAAGCTTGCTCACTTTTATATATTTATGAATACAGTTCAAGCAACAATAAAATACGTTTTACAAAGTCTAATCAGATGACTACACAGAGTAATATGCATTACTACTCTATAACTGTGGGAACAAGGAAAATATATTTATACAATATATAATTGATGAGACAAAATGTTTGCTATCTTTTTCACACACAACTTGGATCACTGTTCTTTATTTGTTTTGCATTATGCAGTCTTTAAGCTTGAAAACGCAAAAAATAAAGAAGATTTTTTTTCGCAACACTTAATATGCATGTATCCAATATACAACATTTTGAGTGACATGTAAATTAAATGCCATAGGTTAATAGCAGGTGTGCTAACTTCCCAGGACAAAAAGGGGTAAACAAGCTCAAATGTAGCTGTTGTGCAATAACTACATAAGAAACAGAAAAACACATGGCATGGCCAAACATATATGGACCTCCCTACTAATTATTGAGTTCAGGTGTTTCAGCATCACCCACTGCTTACAGGAAAACAGTTAGGGACTGTTTTTCAGTGTTTGGGCTCCTTAATGCATTATATTTTAGACATTTGGCTGCTTCTAACTCTGTGGGAACTGTTTGAAGAAGACCTTATTCTGTACCAGCACAACTGTGTCCCTGTGCACAAACTGAGGTCAACGTAGACATTGTCTGACAAGTTTGGTGTGGAAGAACTTGAGTGGCCTGCACAGAACTAACTTCAACCTCACAAATTAACACCGTTGGAATAAACTAGAATGCTGACTGCATTGCAGACCTTCTCATGCAACATAAGTGCATGTCCACATATATGTGCCAATTGTCCCTTGAATATACGCAAATTCCCACAGACAATGCAAATTTTTGTAGAAAGCTTCCCAGAAGAGTGGCAGCTGTTATAGCTAAAAAGCTATATGGCTATGGAGTAGCTTCATATCAATGCTCATGGTTTTGGAAGGTAATGTCCAACAAGTTTATATAGGTATGATGGTCAGTTGTCCACATACTTTTGGCCATACTTACATTATGCAAATGGAGTTCTGTGAATCACTTACCTTTGGTCCCAGTAATCCAGGCTGATCAGAAAGGACAGTTGCAAGTTCCTTCAGAGCAGATCTTAAGAACTTGCGCCGTTCCCTGTGTGTTGCACCCCTGTAAGGAACACAGTAGAAACGTTGTAAAAATTATGTTATTTTGCCAAATCTTACTTTTCTGATTGGCAATGAGAGCGGGAAAGATAATTAAATTGTTAACCTCCTGTTTGGGGGGTAACCCCTAGTGAGACGAGTCACTATAAACTTAAACTAGAAAAGGAACTGCCAGGAGAAAGCAATAAGTGTGTCACGGCTATCCAGTTAATGGTAGGTGAGAACTAGAATTAAAACTTAACTTTTAATACAATGTATAAAAGGTACTAAATCACCAAAAAGAAAAGAAAAACAAGAACAGAAATGACTATGTAAATTTCTACAGTACAATTATCCTGAGAAATGGCTGGAATGTCTACTAAGCAGTAGTCTGATAACTTCGCCTAAAGGAGAGCTACAGTAGAAACAAAGTACAGGTAGTGTGGAAGTGTCTCCTCTAGTCTCGTAAGCTCAAGTTAAAGTGGAGTCCCAGCCAAACAAAGTATCCATTGCTTACTATGTAGCGATAGATATAGGAGCAGGGATTGAAGACAAGGAAGGGTACTGTCTGTGCCGGGTTAAGGGCACCCTTTACCCAAAGAAAACCTGAACTCCAAATTAAAGGGAGGGGGATGTCTTCCCCCTCCCCATTATATATCCTAATGTACAATCACTAAGGAACGCTGGGTTCAGGGATAGTACTAGACTTATCCAAAATAGTAATGACTGTTATATCCGATAGTGACAGAAGAATACTGAAACACTTCTAATAAAGCAGTTATAGCCTAAATACAGATGGTAAACCTCCAAGACCAGCTACATGTGGAAAAGAGAAAGATATGTGTACTTTGCTCCTAGTCACAGCCAAGTAAAGTATCCAGTACTTTATATGTAACGATATGGTGGGGGAACGACAGGGAAAGGTAATGGTAGATGCTGAATCTGTTCCTTCAAGGGCACCCCTCAACCCCCCCCCCCCCCAAAAAAAGCCTGAACTCCTAAATGAAGGTATGGGGACACCTCCGTCCCCCTTAATTGTCCTAATGGGTAATAGCTTGAAAATGCTGGATTTGGGGATGGTATTAGTCTTAACCAAAATGGTCGTAGCAGTTATCTTTCCTCTGATATAGAAGGAAGGATACCAACATGATTCTGATAAGGCCACTACAGTCTCTGAATGGTATGCGCTTGTCAGAACCCCTAAATTAGGATATATAAAGGAGAGAGACGTCCCCCTACCCTTAATTTGGAGTTCAGGTTTTCTTTGGGTTAAGGGGTGCCCTCGAAGGCACAGATTCAGCATCTACCAGTACCCTTCCTTGTCTTCACTCCCTGCTCCTATACCTACCGCTACATAGTAAGCACTGGATACTTTGTTTGGCTGGGATAAAGAGCTAAGCAATTGCATCTTTTTCTTCACCACATATCGCTGGACTTTAACAGATGGTCCTCCACTTTATCCTGAGCTTACGAGGCTAGAGGAGTCACTTCCACACTACCTATACTCTTTATGTTTCTACTGTATCTCTTTTTAAGGCTAAGTTATTGACTACTGCTTAGTAGACATTCCAGCCATTACTCAGGATAATTGTATTGTATAAATGTACATAGTCATTTCTGTTCTCGTTTCTCTTTTCTTTTTGCTGATTTAGTACCTTTTATAAGTTGTATTAAAAAAGTTTTAATTCTAGTTCTCACCTACCCTTAACGGGACAGTCTTGCCACATTTATTACTTATCGCTTTCTCCTGGCAGTTCCTTTTCTAGTTTACTTTTCTGATTGCATCCGCTTTGTTTTATTTCTTTACACATAACCTACACGTTGTGCTCATTAAATAGTCCTGCCAATGTAAAGGTTATTTTTTATCCAAGAAAGATTATATTCCAGCAAAAATAGTCATTTTATTATAATGCTACATAACTAAATATATAACCAATTTTACGTTAGTTTTATCCTAGTGGACATGTTGCTTGTAAAAATCAGATATGAGAGGTCGTAGAGAACATGACGGTACATGAAAAATATGTTAAAATTATATTTTATGGGAGAACAGCTTAACAGAAGCAAAATAATTTGTATCAGTAATTAGAACAAGCATTTTTTTCTGTTCATTAATATAAAAAAAATGTGAAGTTACATGTGTGGAATACTGGTCAACACAAATCAGTAAAATTATGTATACTAGCTTAACATTGTATTGATTCTTTACATTACTAGTGAAATGATTATCCAAGAATCTAGAGATTACTTACGCATGGGACACTGCTGTCTCTTTGCATTCTCGGATGTCATTTATTCGTTTGTTGTAACTGAAAAAGCAAGATTTAAATCTCTAAATATATTGAACACTAATTTACAATGCCTAAATTATGCTGGCTTTAAAAACCAACAATTTAATCTTAACAAAACAAATTAAACAAAACATAAGCATTATAATACCACGTTAATGCAAGTTTAGAAGCAAAAATATTAAACACACCACATTAAACATATGTATATATTGTATCTTTTAAGAACCCATATCTGGATGAGCTTTACATATTTTACTTAGCAGAACACTCCAAGCACCACAAACACTACCACATGTTGCACTGGTTTTGGTGAAAGGCGTGCCCAGGCCCCCCCAGTGTAAGTAGTCAAACAGTTTTAGTTTATTCTAACTTCTTTTCCGAGGTCCACTGGAAGCCAGTACCCACCTCCACTATTTCCCATGGAGAGCCAGAAGCTCCTAAACAAAAGCTTCCATTAGTTCTCCAAAGCTAAGCCATGCAATGCAGGGCTAGCTGATCGCTCTCAGCTTATGAGCAAAGACCTGCACCTCTGCATTTCGCTCAAAGAGCTTCTGGCTCTCCTGAGTATGTACCCAGCTCAGCAAATATGAGATCAGTGTAAGCAGAGCTGCTGGCATGACTTGGCTCCACAGCCTGTCACTATCTTAACATCTGAACCCTTTCCCTCACGGTGTCTTGAAATACTAGGCAGACAATAAGATAATGGTGATTGGCTGTGGGGGTGAAGTCAAATCACGAGTGAAGCTCACAATGATCTTTCATTGACTGAGCTACACTGCATTTCTTCCAGTCCCAAAGATGTTTTGTAAAAAAAGGGAGGAGTGGCTGAGGAGGGTTATGGTGCAATAAGCATAAAATCAATAACTCAAATTATCTCCTTAAACGACAGTAAATTAGAATAAACAATAAAAATGCATTATTTGTTCAAATAAGTTCTCTTTAAAAAATTCTTTGACCACAAAGATCAAATCACATTTTAGGTAATGCATGATTACAGAGGTCTCAAATGTTCACAAACTTCTCTCTCCCTTTCGTGAACAATGAGTGGCCAACTCCAGGCCTCCAAAATAATCATCACATTTAATGATATCCCTTTGCACTTTGAGTGAGCAGTTTAGACTGCCCCCACCTATCATTTAGTAGGGGTATCCTTCAATTCAAGTCTGTAAAGAGTCCCCAGAGATTAAAAGTGTTAATATAGTAATGGTTTTGATGTAGAAAGTACACAAGCGCTATGCCTGACCATATAATTATTGCTCAGGGAATATAGCTACAGGGAGTGCAGAATTATTAGGCAAATGAGTATTTTGACCACATCATCCTCTTTATGCATGTTGTCTTACTCCAAGCTGTATAGGCTCGAAAGCCTACTACCAATTAAGCATATTAGGTGATGTGCATCTCTGTAATGAGAAGGGGTGTGGTCTAATGAAATCAACACCCTATATCAGGTGTGCATAATTATTAGGCAACTTCCTTTCCTTTGGCAAAATGGGGCAAAAGAAGGACTTGACAGGCTCAGAAAAGTCAAAAATAGTGAGATATCTTGCAGAGGGATGCAGCACTCTTAAAATTGCAAGGCTTCTGAAGCGTGATCATCGAACAATCAAGCGTTTCATTCAAAATAGTCAACAGGGTCGCAAGAAGCGTGTGGAAAAACCAAGGCGCAAAATAACTGCCCATGAACTGAGAAAAGTCAAGCGTGCAGCTGCCACGATGCCACTTGCCACCAGTTTGGCCATATTTCAGAGCTGCAACATCACTGGAGTGCCCAAAAGCACAAGGTGTGCAATACTCAGAGACATGGCCAAGGTAAGAAAGGCTGAAAGACGACCACCACTGAACAAGACACACAAGCTGAAACGTCAAGACTGGGCCAAGAAATATCTCAAGACTGATTTTTCTAAGGTTTTATGGACTGATGAAATGAGAGTGAGTCTTGATGGGCCAGATGGATGGGCCCGTGGCTGGATTGGTAAAGGGCAGAGAGCTCCAGTCCGACTCAGACGCCAGCAAGGTGGAGGTGGAGTACTGGTTTGGGCTGGTATCATCAAAGATGAGCTTGTGGGGCCTTTTCGGGTTGAGGATGGAGTCAAGCTCAACACCCAGTCCTACTGCCAGTTCCTGGAAGACACCTTCTTCAAGCAGTGGTACAGGAAGAAGTCTGCATCCTTCAAGAAAAACATGATTTTCATGCAGGACAATGCTCCATCACACGCGTCCAAGTACTCCACAGCGTGGCTGGCAAGAAAGGGTATAAAAGAAGAAAATCTAATGACATGGCCTCCTTGTTCACCTGATCTGAACCCCATTGAGAACCTGTGGTCCATCATCAAATGTGAGATTTACAAGGAGGGAAAACAGTACACCTCTCTGAACAGTGTCTGGGAGGCTGTGGTTGCTGCTGCACGCAATGTTGATGGTGAACAGATCAAAACACTGAGAATCCATGGATGGCAGGCTTTTGAGTGTCCTTGCAAAGAAAGGTGGCTATATTGGTCACTGATTTGTTTTTGTTTTGTTTTTGAATGTCAGAAATGTATATTTGTGAATGTTGAGATGTTATATTGGTTTCACTGGTAATAATAAATAATTGAAATGGGTATATATTTGTTTTTTGTTAAGTTGCCTAATAATTATGCACAGTAATAGTCACCTGCACACACAGATATCCCCCTAACATAGCTAAAACTAAAAACAAACTAAAAACTACTTCCAAAAATATTCAGCTTTGATATTAATGAGTTTTTTGGGTTCATTGAGAACATGGTTGTTCAATAATAAAATTAATCCTCAAAAATGCAACTTGCCTAATAATTCTGCACTCCCTGTAGTTTAAACAATGACAGATCTGACAGTAAGTTCTGTCAATATATATAAAATGTACGTGCATGCAAGTGAGCACCAAAATGAAAAGCAAGTATATTAAGAGTTAATTGGTTTTGACATTAATGTACCCTCTAATGTTGACAAACAGGTCTTCCGCTGCCTTGTGGATATGGAAAACTTCATCTCTGTAAAGAGAAAGGCATGAGCTGCTCTGCAGGGCAAGTTTCCAAAGATTCAAAGCAGTGGCATCCGAGTTTAGAATTCCATGACACAAAATGAATCCAACTGAAAATAAAAAAATACACTATTAGCAAGTGATAAAAACAAAACACAAAGTTTCACTTCATCTGACAGCCTTGAGTGGTAATGAACAATGTATATTTAGAAAAAAGAAATAATGTGCAGCCCTTGTGCAAATCTGGTCATGCAAAGTGCTAGAGTTATATCAGTTCCATTGTATTGCATAATCACCAGGTTTGGGATCCAACTCACTTAATCTATACATTTACGGATTGTCGATACCTGGTCATTCGGGAACAATAAACCCTTTTGTTAATCATAGCAGATGAAGAAATTAAAATATAATCTCACATAATGCTCCCTAACTTTTGGAGCAGTTGTGGCGCATCTCCCTGGGGTCCTTCTATCTGCTCCTCATTGCTCCCGCGCGCGGTTTAGTAATGTCAGAATATGACGTCATATACCGGCACCTGGTTTCACTACAGACGGCGCACACAAAGGAGAAGTGAGGAGCAGGAACCCGGTCAGGTAAGTTTTAGAAGAGTAGGAACCTGCAATGTGGGAAAAGCAGGTGCCTACTCTGCTATAACACCAGCATGTACTCGCGGTTTGCCAGGCCGCGAAGATGGTCCTTGTGGGCGGCCCGCGAGTTTGACATGCTTGTTGTAGAACTATCGCTTCCATGACTGTCATTCGAAAGACATTCAAAAGGCATGCAAAGCATCATGGGAGTGTTCAACAACATCTGGGAATCTACATTTTGGGCACCCCTGCTTTAAGTTTATGCAACGCAGGTGATTTTACTAACCTGAAATCGCTCCCATATGCATAAGATAAGATACATGGTGTATTCAGTGTAAAATATATTGATTTACTCACTTTCCCTCCGTTCCAGCATTGCTTCATATAACACCCACCTCTGGGCTGTCCTCTGCTCCGTTTGAACTCTGATTTTCCTTGCTTGGGGCCCATCCCAAAGCAAAGTTTTCTCAGTGACGTCGCCACCCTGGCTTAGTTGCCAGGATCAGAATGGAGTGACGTCACATCACTCCATTCCAGTACTCTCTAGCCAGCGCGAGAAGTGCCGGCTAAGGGCTTTCCTTTGCAATTACAGCAGACACACTGTGGTTGCAATGGGTGTAGAGCAGAGGAAGGGAGGTCTTTTCTGCTCTTGTCAGTCATTGCCTTAGCACGCCATATTTAAATATATTTTTCTCCTCTATATATTCGCTAGCAAAATTCTAATCATACACTCAATCTAATAAGCATAAATTGTTTGCGGCATGGCATGGCATGTCCCTTTTAAGTCTAATTTTCTGCATGGTTTGGTGCATTTATTTAACCTGGAGAAGTTATTCATCTGTTTATTTTTTTTTTGTGTCCCAACCATCAATTTTTGAATGCAAGCCATTTTGTTGGTTATGTAATAGATTTACGAATTTGTTCAGGCACTTTTCAAACAGAAAACTGACAGTTTTTTTCCCCACCACTGTAAATTTGGTGGTCGTAGTATTGTTAGAATGCGCCCCTTTGATCATAAGTGAGATCTTTCATTTATCCCTATATGGCCTTAAATCAATTTTAATTGACTGTGTGTCGGATATCTAACTCATGAAAAAAAAGATCACTGCTAATTGTACAACTAGATCTTACACTCCTCATGAAAACCTCTTCTCTCTATTGACCTTTTTACATTTGTAACTAATGCACTGTTTCCTGTTCCTCGCATCAGTGCCCTTTTCCTGAGGGGGTTGATTTGTTGTGGAGCTGAACTGTATCCTTTCCAAATATCTAACCTTCAGATGCTACATTCTATTTACAGCATTGAGGACAAACGCAGACTGAGGACTCTAAGATAAAATCAGTTTCTACAGTTGAGAATTTGAGAGAACATAAAAAAATCTGTAATTCATGGATAACTATAGGAGCATATTTTTGTTGTCATCTTCAGAAACATTTTCTCAAATAGAGGTATACATAGTAAAAAGTCAGGTTGAAGGTCTGAATCTGTACTACTGACAATGCTAGAAAGGGAGTAAATATTCTAACATTCTAGTAATTTGAAAATATAATAATTACATATTTTATCACCTTGATAAATTACACATTCGTTGCTTAAGGGGGTTTCCTCCACGCTTGGAGGAAGGAGAAAGAATGAAGATTAGTGTGAAACAGATATTTAAAAATGTTGCTGGAGGTGTAAGAACACCCTCCAGCATCAAAATGAGCTAGCCTAGAAGACTTGCCAATGTCTAATCTGTGCATATTCCATGCACCAATTTTCATATATTGGATAAGAGTAACCAGTTTACAGTTGTAAATGAATGACCAGCGGGGATTGGCATCCAGCTTCTGCAGAAGCAGTTTATCACCAACTATAGTGAAAGCTAGGAATATCGCTTTAACTGTTAAAGTGAGCCTGGCACAGCAGGTTCACATAAATAGCAACCATTGTGAAGCAAGCAGCGTTTTCAGGCATATTATTAGAATTCAGATACTGCGGGTTTTAAGTTGTGTGTTTAACTAGCTGTCCATCAGTGTCTTCAAACACAGTTACAACCAGAAAAAGGTTGTCATACATTTTTATTTTTAACAACTGAACAAAATAGCTCTCACTTTTTTATTTTTTTATTACACATTGTTAAAGTGGTTTGCTTTACCAACATTTGGAATTCTGTAACTATGGCATTGAACAAGGCATGGCATCTCATTAGCTCAGAGGTGGAGTACGCTGGGTTAAGTGGGTCCAAGATGTCAGGAAGCGAGGTGTACAATGAAAGGCAGAGGCAAACTACTCGGGTACAGTCCAAAACATCAACTTTAAACGTCACTAGCTGCCACTGATAACAGTGGACTTACCACATAAACAACATGCCTCTTATTTTGGATTTAATTTGAGTTCTACACCAATTTTTATAAAAAACAAAATGTTTGATTTGAAATGTGAGGTTTCTCAACTGTGCTCACTACTCTTGAAAGTAACATTTATACAGTAAAATGAGAATCTTATACTTACAAATGATCCACTTTTCCATTGCATCCAGTGACAGGTACTCACATGGCATCTGTAAAATACATTTGATGAAAAGAGTTAGATAAATGTAGGCTACATAGTAAAGGGACTGCTTTTATTTTCTTTATTTCTACATTAAAAAGTGAAGTACACCAAGCAGAATGTTTAATGCAGGACAGCACTTCTCTTTAGGAGTTTGCTTCAAAAGTATTTTTCAGAGCGTTGACCATATTTTGAAAATGGGACCAAAGATGCATAATCCACCTTAATGGAGTTGAAAAATCTATTTGCAGTTTCTCTGGGTTGCAATTGTGTCTCTTAACTGCTGGGATACAAAATGTTTCACACAGCTACAGTGAAGGGAAAAAAGTATTTGATGCGCTGATTTTAAGTTTTGCCCACTGGCAAAGAAATGGACAGTGAGAGAGATTTAAAAAAAAAAAAAAAAAAATCCAGAAAAACGCATGTCAAAAAAGTTATAAACTGATTTTACACGTCAATGAGTGAAATAAGTATTTGACCCCTTCGACTTAGTACTTGGTGACAAAACCCTCGCTGGCAATCATAGGTCAGACGTTTCTTGTAGTTGGCCACCAGGTTTGTATACATCTCAGGAAGAATTTTGTTCCACTCCTCTTTGCAGATCCTCTCCAAGTCAGTAAGGTTTCAAGGTCGACATTTCACAACTCAAACCTTCAGCTCCCTCCACAGATTTTCTATGGGATTAAGGTCTGGAGACTGGCTAGGCCACCAGAGGACCTTAATGTGCTTCTTGAGCCACTCCTTTGTTTCCTCGGCTGTGTGTTTTGGTTCATTGTCATACTGGAATACCCATCCATTACCTATTTTCAATGCCCTGGCTGAGGGAAGGAGGTTTTCACCCAAGATTTGACGGTACATGGTCCTGTCCATCGTCCCTTTGCTGTGGTGCAGCTGTCCCCTTAGCAGACAAACATCCCCACCAAGCTGCTTGGGCAATGGTCTCTTAGCCCTTTCCAGTCTTGTGCAGGTCTACAATCTTGTCCCTGACATCCTTGGACAGCTCTTTGGTCTTGGCCATGGTGGAGAGTTTGGAATCTGATTGATTGCTTCTGTGGACAGGTCCCTTTTTCTGGATTTTTTTTGTTATTCTGTCTCACTTAAAATACACCTACCATTAAAATGATATACTGATCATTTCTTTGTCACTGGACAAACGTTCAAAATCAGCAGGGGATCAAATACTTTTTTCCTTTCCTGTATGGCTAGATTTCTCAAGCAGAAAAAAAAAAAAAAGGGTTACTTATTTTTAATAGATGCACTAGTTGCAAACAATATATTTAATCCTAGTAGTAGCAGAATCAGTACCAGTTTCTTTCACATGAATACGCAAAGTGGTCCTAGCTTTTCTAGGATCAACAGGTTCCTCATATGCCCACATATCTTTTGCAGCGTTATATCTGCAAAATGGAGTTTGTACTTGGCAAAAATCTTATGGTAACCACATTAAGTATCCATCAATATTATAATTGAACTATAGCTGCAATTGGAATCTATAGTGCCAGGAAAACAAATTCTTCTGGCACTAGAGCTTCCTCCCCCCCCCCCCTTCTGTCACTAACCTTGGTCCAGCGCCGATGTCCCTCTGCAATGGCTCAGCTCAAACCATGCATAGCGTGAGGACGTCCAGCGTTGTTTAGGCAACCAAAAGTCACCTATCCACAAGGAAGTCCTTCTAGTGGCTGTCTGTTAGACAACCACTAATAGAGGAGTTAACCCTAGCAGGTAATTATTGCAGTTTAGAAAACTGCAATAATTACATGCTCAGTGTTAAGGGTGATGGGAGTTTGCACCAAGACCACTTTAATGAGCTGAAGTGGTCTGGGTGCCTCCAGGGTCCCATTAAACAGAGGCTACCCTAAGGTCTGTAACAGCTCCACTAGGCTCTTAACTCGTTATATTTTCAGAAATTAACCATTACTGAAGAACTGACTCCAGTAATAAAATCGGAGAGGAGATCATGTGGCCTTGAATAATCACTAAACCTTATTGGGTTTTATGAATACGTTTTAGGTTTTCTTTAGTATGTCTTAGAACCTGGATCTCCAAAGCAAATGTCCACACACATTAGTATACACTAAAACAATCTCTTTCTTTACTTGGAGGCCCTGCCCTCTTGGATATAGCTTAATCTTCTGATCTTTCAGAAGACACACCATCTAGACAGTATACATCAAAATTATCCCTAAGACTAGTTCTTGGCAAACATATGACCATAAGTTACAATAATAAAAAAATATATATACACACACACACACACACATTATATATATATATATATATATATATATATATATATATATCTCAAAGGAGTGATTCCTCAGACATTTTTACTGCCAACGAAGTAGAGATTTTAGAATATACACAACGCAACATTGGTACCACAACATAACATTTCTGGGAGGAACACTTGAACCCGATGTATTCTCTGGCATGCACCCTTACAGCTTATTGGATTAATAAGGCACATAATACAGCAGATCTGGCTTATTATGCCCTCAGCAAGGAAAACGCATACATGAAAACACTGAACAGAAAAAACATAAAAAGGTTAATACAGGAAATCGATACATACTGTGTCTGATTGTGCAGGGTTTAGCATTGTGCTTGGAGCACTGATGAGACTTAAAAGCTGAGCATTTCTCCACTGATCTGCTGAAAGGTTTCTTCGTGGATAGACCATTTGCAATGAAATGAGTGCATCTGACAAAGACTAAATAAAATAAATAAAAAGCTGAAATAAATAGGCATAATTACTGAGCGACAGCACAAACAGGAATAAATAGATTATTTGCAATGTGAATAAATGTGAATAAATATGAATTACACTTTATTCTCATAATGACAGCTATTAAAACAAGACATCCTCTTAGCTGATGCTATCACGGTAGAAGCTACTCAACCTTTTTTCAAGCCTTCCCACTAATTGCAACATAAATCAGCCTGGAAAGAAGTTTTTCCCAAGGTGCAGATTTAAAAAAACTAATGAGAAACTAATGGCTTATTTATCTTTAGAAGGGATGTAGATGACAATTCAAACAGTAGATTTGCACTAAAAGGTTACCAAAACAGTGCACAGGAAAACGATATAAGGTTTGTTTTATCACCTCTCTTTATGCTCATGTGCTGGTATAAGCAAGATTTTCCTTTAATTCTGAGAGATTTGAAATCTAGAAATTAACCAAAATGCATTTACTTTACTATGAGGGACAAATTCTTCCATCATCTTCTTTAAAGGGTTTTCATAGTCAACTATCATTTGTCCAAGTCGAGGATACTCTCGGTCACTAAAAATGTGAAAAATATACAAAGAAAAGATATCTAAATAATATTTGTGCGATGGATTCAGAGATGCTTAATGTGTATGAATGTATAAATACCTTGCTCCATGAGTCATTTCATGAGAGTAGTTGTAGAGGCCTATAATTGCTTTTCGCTCTTCGATCCTTGAAAGCATAATCATCAGTGTAGTGTACGTTATAATCAAATCTAGGTAATTCTTTGTCAAGTCAAAGTTGACAGTCTAGAGATAGTGGGGGGGGACAGACAAAACAGATTTTTATTTGCAGAACAAAAATCCATAGACCGACAAAAAGAGGTAAGCTCGTAGGCTGTCATGTTTGTTGGAGATGCTACAAGTGTTGCACTGAAGCTCATAATGGTGTTCTCTCTGTCTAAGTCTGTAAAACCACACTTTTCCCCTCCATTCATTTGTAAAGCAATATGGATAAGGGCACTATATAAAACAGATAAGTAATGATGGACCTTATGAATCCAGAACAATTGGTCAACAATCACATTTGCATGGTTTCAGAAACATAATTGTTAATAGATTTTTTTTCTACATTAATAATTTATGCTGTGTAAACAGTGCTGTAATCATTGTTTAGATAGTTATAAAGAAAACTTGTTAATATCCATTCTGCTAGGGTTACATTAGGTTCTAAATGGCATTTTCAGGTAAGCTTGCAACACTACCTGCACAAATAAGAAGTTCATAAGTGACAGATGCGAGGACAGCCAGAGAGCAGATATTTTATTAATGAAACTACTGACAGAAACCCCCTCCCCCACTGAACCCAATGCAGACAACTACATAATACAGGCTGCCTGTAGTGGACCAGGATAAAGCACAGAATTACGAATCATATAGAAAACTCAAAAATACACTCATCTATGAAAGTCCCTCATTTCCAGAACATTATTAAATAATATTTAAAAGTTCCTAGCTAAACTGGGGTTAGGGAGTCTGCTTGCAGCTATAGACAGGCCCTTGCCTAGCCAGAGTGCAGCCTCAAATCAGGAATATCACATTCTGAAGTATGGGGGTCGAAGTTTATCCCATAATCATCTTTTCAACAGAAGATTTTCAGGCAAGCAGTTTATCCCCAAAACGCACTAAATCATGAAGAAATACCCAAACATGGCATCCTCTTCCTGTTAATGAATAAGACTACACAGTAACAGTGTATCGAGAAAAACAAAAATTACAACCAAGTTGAAGCTTTATAATAGCATCATAACATAATCAGTGTCTAAAACCGGCTTTATTTGCTGCATGCCAAATTGAACACAGATTTAACTGTATAATGTTTTGTTGCTGCTGCCTGGACAAGTGGCGTGCAGGATTTGTAGACCAGTATTGTTAAAAGGTATTCTACATGGTCATTACATTAGACTTAAATGCTGTTCCTATCCATGCCTACACACTCTGCATATAAATGAATAAGACAGTGGAACCTAGGATCCTGTGTTTGGGTGATTCGTTATGTTTTGGTGTATATATTACTGGTAGGGGACATGCCCAGGATAGCACTGGTACTATACTTACTGACTAGCCATTACAGTCTTTTAGACGGATAAGTGGTGAATTTTATTAACTTTTTAATCCCAAAAAGCAGCTCCACTTATACTACAATATCAGTGGGACTGCTCTACAATCCGATAGCAGGTACAGCCCAGATTACAGTTTGGTGAGCCAGCTATAAGAGCTGCACACTGTGTATGTAGTCTCCAGGGAGGAGAGAGTGCCCAGTCCAAGTTGTGCATGTGATGTGCACACACCACATGCACAAACTGGTAATAAACAATCAACCTGGAGCTGGAAATTCTGGCTGATTGACAGATCATTGACTAAGCATTGATTCCAGCATAGAACTTTCTAAGCCTGCACATCACAATCAGAGTCAGCATAGTGTACTCTACAAACCACCATGTTTGCAATAATGTTAAGTAGTGGAGTCTGTTTATAAATCAATTTTTAATGCTATGTATGGTGTAGAATAAACCCTAAAAATAAATGTCCTATGTTTATAGTCCCACTTTAAAAAAAATAAAAAAGTCTTATTCTTCATTCATTTACTAAAACAGTTGGAAATAGAGTGCAACAATGTGTTCTCAGAAAATTCTCAAAATGGGCAAAAATGACAGTACCCACAAATTCTGCCCTTGGGACGCATGTTTTTAGAAACTGTGCCTGCAAATCACAAAAATACTTCAAATAAGACCGTTAACAGGGTTTATTATCTCTGCATTGAAAATCTAGATAAGCTGTGGGGCTGGGCAGGCAAGTGGCACATGACAGTCAAAGTAGACTGAAGAAAAGTAGACTCAAAATATTTGGCATAACATGTTACTTATACTCTGAATAGAACTGTCTCACTAAGAGAATAAACAGGGAATAACTGGAGACACTGGACTTGGAATTGTGAAAAACTATTAAATAGAAGGACAAGAAAGGTATTGCTAGGGAAACAAATAGGTACTGATAGCAGGACAAAATAACGCAACTGCTTTAAAATCAAACGACCCTCACTTTGAATACACAGTGCATTTTACAGGCACCGCTTTAAAAAAACTTTAGGGAACAGGCTACCAAAAAAAGTAATGGAAAACAGGAGCTCTAAAATACAGCTAGCACTCACACAACAAAAAAATATATCGCTTTAGAATAGATGGGGCAATATAAACCGTGTACCTATATTAAAAGTCAATATAATACTGCTGTCTTCACCTGTTAACATTTCTAGCAGTATCAATAACTTTACTTATGTTAACCATGACATTTTGTATACTTACAATATCAAAGAAAACCTGGCATACATCGATTGTGTTTAGCAGCTCACAAACATGATCCTGGAGAGGAGAAAAAGAAAATCCAGCTGAAATAGGAAAATGCATTTGCACAAACCAGACAGGTTAACTTGTCATTTGGTAGGCAATCAGAATATTCCAACCTGTGAAACATAAAGGTTACCCCCAGTGGGTGGATGAGATATACAAACACGTACAGTCGTACACAAATACACATACGATCATAGTTCATTTTAAAGGGCTTTTCCAACACTTTTTTGCTTGCATAATAATGCCCATTTTGTATTATTCTGTAGGTTCTCTCCCTCCCCAATATAAATTTTACTTGCCCTTATCCATTGCCTAACGTGTTTTAAGTTCCATTAATAAAAAAGTGATGATTATTTACAAAGATCCTTTGTTTACAGTTTAAATGAAAAACAAAAACAAAAAAACCTATTTACCTTAAATTCCATAACATCCACAAATGTGAAGTAATACAAAGCCAGGTTTTTCAGAATTTCAGATTTTTCTTTTTGAAGTTGTGCAAGCTGTTGCTGTAAAGACACGGAAACTTTTACATACCTTTATTACAGAGTGTATAAATCAACTGCATCCATTTACTGACCAGCAATCATTTAATATATAAAAATTCTGGTTTACACTCCCTCTGCCTATCATTTATTCAATTTAACAATGTTTATTAAACATGGATTGCCTCACAGAAAGAGTTAATTATTCTGAAATGCAATATTAGAATATACAGATCATGTCAGACCAGGTGGTAAAGGCACAGGATGAAAAAGTGCAGTTATCCAGAAAAAGAACAAGCATGAAAGGAAGTACTTGTTAATTGAAAGAGAGCAAGACCACATTCTTCAATAGCAAAAGAGACACTTAAAATTCTGAACTTACCAAACAGAATATCCGGGCAAAGCCACGTTAAGCATGCAAAATAAATGTAGATACAAACATAAAATACAGTAAAAAAGGATCTACAACTAGATTTTAACAATACGACAAAGGCAAAAAAAAAAAAAAAGAAGCAAAAACACTTGTTAGACACACAAGAACAAGCAAGGTTTTGAAAGAGATTAGAAATAGTTTAGATACACAGCAAAAAGAGAGTTTGGAGAATAGATGAGGATTGCACATTTAAGCAAAGCAGAAGAGTATGGCTGCATATTTGACTCACGCAACTTACACAATATTTCTCAACTAAATTTTACTGATCTGGCATTCATGGGATATGGTACAAAACACTTATTTATTAAAGGGACTATTAGTCACCAGAACAACTAAAGCTTAATGTAGTTGTTCTGGTGAGTATAATTATATGCAGGCATTTTAACCCCTTAAGGACCAAACTTCTGGAATAAAAGGGAATCATGACATGTCACACATGGCATGTGTCCTTAATGGGTTAATGCAAACACTGCCTTTTCAGAGAAAAGGCAGTGTTTACATTGCCCCTAGGGACACCTCCAAGTGGCCACTCCTCAGATGGTCACTGGAGAGGCTTCCTGGCTCAGTACTGCATAGAAGGCAGCACTGCCATTTAGCATCTCCATACTCTCCATGGGGACGCAGAATTTTCCTTATAGAGATGCATTGATTCAATGCAGCTCTATGAGGAGGTGCTGATTGGCCAAACCTGTAGTGCTAAACCCACCATTTAAGTGGCTTGCCCCCCTTACCTGCCCTCCCCCCCCCCCCATCCTGCCTCCTTGTCGATTATAACTAATCCAATGCTTATATTGGCTAAAAATCGGCAACTCTGATGTTGTCATCAAGGAGGCGGAACAGGGGGGGGGGGGCCAGCGCGGCGCTGAAAATAAGGCAGGGCTTATTACTTTTTGAGGGGGCTAAGGCGGGGGCAAGCCACTTAAATGGTGGGTTTAGCACTACAGGTTCAGGAATACATGTTTGTGTTCCTGACCCTATAGTGTTCCTTTAATGTGAGAATTCAAAGTGAATTTCAAATTTTAGGGAAACGTAGTCAAACTTAAACCATAGCAGACTAAGCAAAAATTTCAGTTTGGCTATTTTGGCCATAAAATTCACTTTCAATTTTAACGTTCGTAAATAAGCCTGACAGTCTTGAGAGGTATTACACCAACTTCAAAGGTTTACTTTAACCTAGGGGTTCAATCAATTAAATAGGATAGCCAAACAGAAATTAGCATATTTATAAATCCACTTAGTAATGACTCCTAGCTGTCTGCTGTGCCAGGAAGGATTCCTAGCCAACTTGCTTTGATGTATAGCTGGAAGCAGAAAGGAGTGCTTCTTACAGAGAACCAATGATTTCCATGTTTCTCTATGAGAAGCATAGTTGGGGTCTTCCAGTTCTATAGGATAAGCCTTTCAGTGATACATGGGGTGGGAAGGGACTGCTGATCATTAAAGGAACGTAGGCTATCTATAGCTCCTGCACATGAACAATTTAAAGACATAGGAAGTTCATAGTAATGTGTTGAACCTCCCCCATAACCACATTTTGCAAAAACTAGCAGTTAAAACAAAGTAGCATTTGAATGAACTGGAAGTTCATGGACAGTCTACATGGGGTTTTCCATAAAAATCCCATTACAATAAATGTAACAACCACATCAAACTCACTGCAGATTTTCTCACAGAAATGCCAACATTCTAATGATAGCACAGGTTCAGTATATACACTTGATTTCGTTCAAACTGTGTCCACAGCATATCAGTATTTATGAAGACATTGATTTGTATGGTTGTTGCATCCCCCAATTTATAAACACATTTATGAAGGATTTGGGCACTAAACTTAGTAGGGATGATGTTGCTAATGCTACAAGTTGAAATAGAATTGCATTTATCAGAGTAGGTGGAACAGCATTCACAACATACACCCAACACACACATTAATGTTTCAAATGTTTAACCAGTTTATCTGCCTCCTGCTACATTCCTTACTAGTCAAACACATGTTAGTTGGGCATGTCAACATTTGCTGCAGCACTGAACAAGGATCATTCAAAATGCTTTTAGGCTTGGGTTATTAAACCGTCACTGAATTGCTGCCCAACCCAAAGTGAGCTATGGGCACAGAGCAAAAATAAATAAATACAAAATTTGAATTATAGGTTGATTAAAGCAGCCAAAAGCTGTTGAAACAGTGTATGAGCTGTAGTAAGAGCCAATAGCAAGTCTTTTAGGAAAGCATTTCCTAAGACTTTTGTGTAAGGGGACCATACATTTTTAAAGAAATAAGTTAATGTTAACAATCATTCAGCCTAGCAACTTTAGATTTCCTGAATTGTTGTCTAACCCAATTAGAGATTTCAACCAAATTTTACTTGCAGAGCTTTTTCACCCAGTTTTTACAAACATTTAGCATTTTTAAAAACATGACAGGGTAAAGGAAATCTGTACTTCAAACTTTTGCAAATAGGATTGTGCATGGAAAGGAGTATATTTCATGGGTTAAAGGAACACTGGTGTAAGGAATACAAACCTGTATTCTAAACAATATAGTGTCCCTGTTTGTTTAAGTCAGCACCCCTACAGCAAATAAGGGGTTAACTTACCCCATTCCAGGTTAGGTCTGCTCCTCCAGCAACGTCACACCGATATGGGAAAGCACATTAAAGCATTCCCATAGGAAAGCATTGAATCAATGCTTTCCTAAGGGGAATTTGAAGTTAGACGTCCTCGTGCAAAGCGTGAAGACGTCCAACAGCATTTCACTGAATAAAACTCAGTTAGGAAGCAGGAGGACCGCCACCAGAGGTTGAAATAACACTGCAGTTACTCTGAAGTGGAAATGTTATATATTGCAGGGTTATAGGGTCAGGGGCACTTCACCCACACCACTTCTATAATGTCCATTGGTTGATAAAATGTTCAAACTAGACTGTTTTTTATTTTGCCCATCACTACACAATGACACATGCATCTGTCCCAAATAAGATGCACTTAAGTGGTTATAAGCAATGTAAATAGAGGTGAGAGTAGTTTGCTAAACTGGGAATTCTAAAAACATCAATAAGGGAATGTTAGGCCAAAAGAGACAAAACAAATTTTACAATTACCCAGCTCTATTTTGACAAGAAAAAATTGCATTTCCGTTGTCAATTTGGTGTTTCTCACCTAAGCAAGAGGAGGTGGAGAAGGTCTGCAGTGAATTTTTGCTACAAAATAGATTGAAAATATCTGTGGTGTTTCGATTCACGTGGAGGATAAAATCTGCACTATGTGTCTTAAAGATGAAAAATGGTTTCAGATGCATATAATAACACAAATGACAGAGTTGCTCCAAAATGCATCTTCCATAGAGTTGGACAAATGAATCACACTAAATGCTGCAAGAAACCAGAAACAAATTAACAGATGTTCATTACTCTGAATTATATTAATTTGGTGTAATGAAAACGAGTTAATTTGTCATCTATGAGGATGTTTCTATTCCCCAACTACAACTCCTGATGGTTGCATACATTGAGTTTACAGTTTCACATTGCAAAAAAAAAAAAAAACCACTAAAAAACAAACAAAAAAAACAGTGAGCTGTAGTCTGTTTTTTCCAGTGTGATATTTGAGGTGACTATTACTCTGAAAGCAGTACAAACATTTGGAATGATGGGTTCATGGGCATGGACTGAAAAGAAATAATTGGTCATACAGCAAACCCACATCCTTACTGTAATTAAAACATGTAAATTAAAAGGTTTTTAACCACCTCTCCCTCCACCCAGGAGAGAAAAAAAAAAATGATGAGCGCTACAATTCTTAGTGCATGCACATGAAAAGTGGGGAAATGCAAAATCTGCATGATTACAGGCAGTGTATGCAAGTTAAATTACTTAGTACGGGTTAACTGTTAATGTTGGTGAACTGGTTTCTATGAAAGACTTGTGTAAACAAGTCTATTACTCAAGCAATGAACGACTACCAATAACACAAATTACCAGTGTTTTTCATAACAAAATTTGCTATATACAAGTGCAATACATTCATTCATTGGTAACAATATAGTAATACTGAAAGTGAAAGACACTTGAGAAAATATTCTACAGAAGCAAGAGAGCAGATATATTTTCTTTGTTTTTATTAGCATTTCCCGTTCCAAAGTAATATACCCCAACACGTACTTACATTGTTATTTCGGGTTTCGACTGCTGGAAACTTTCGAACAATAAATTTAACAGCAGATTCAAGGTTCTTGTCAATCAGATACGATGGCTTTGCTTTGGGATCGCCACATGCCTAGAACGTAATCAGGAAGGATAAACAAAAAAGAATTACAATAAACATAATACATGTTTAGGGAAAATATGAATACAAATGTAATATCCTCAAGTAATCAAACATGAAACATTCTTGTTTGTATCAGGACTAAGTGAATATAAAAAGAAAATGAGTATGTAAAAGGCTGTTATAGGAGAAATGCATGTATTTTACAGAAAAAAGTGAATGAGTCTTTTTTAAAAATGTTTAAAAGTGAGCAGCAGTGAACGTATGGAAGTTTCAATGCTGAAATGATGTGAACGTTTAACTAAAATTTTGTAAGAGCTGCTTGAAAAAAAAAAATTAAAATACAGATTTAAAAAATGGGACAAAATATTTAGGTGATTTAAGAATAATTCAGAGCCCTAAATATATTGATATCTATATATCAAATAGCTGAAAAGTAAAAACTAATGGGGTTACCATTTAATTTTGGAGCATGGACAACAGGTGCAAAAACATAACTGCAATATTTTCTAAATTTTGCCAATTTGTTGTCAAGGCACCGCAAAGTGAACAAATGCAAAGACATATCAAACGCATTTTTTCCAATTCACAAGACTAAAAAAAAAAGATCTCCGTTGAAGAATTTGCAAACAGTGAAAATAAAAAGAAATTGAGGGAAAAATCTAAATTAACCAAAATACAAAAGGTTCTGTTTTGTTGTTTTTTTTTTTTTTTTAATTGTCAAACAGTTATTTGGCCCATTAAAACCAGAAGATGCAACAGGCTATTAATGCTGAGGCATAATAGTGCATTGTTATTTCTTAGCAAGTTTAACAATACTTAGTGTGAAAAAGCACAGGTTTGTTAAATACATATGTTAAAGCAAGGAAAAGTAATTGGTCATTTTTCATTTTTTGTAGGCATGCCCTTATATGCGTCAAACAACTTTAGGTTGCACGCCTTTAATTATTAGAGCGGAGATTCATGCTTCAGGGCAAAAAAGGGGGCAAAGAAAACCCAGATATGTCACTCATGTTGCAAGTAAGGGGCTTCCAACTAGTAAGCAGTCCAGCCCTTGATAAATTGCAATAGCTGGAGGGCAAACTGCTGGCTACCGCTAAGAGCTACATGCGCAAGTGCAGCCTGCATGCTTGCCAGTAGTGTATAGTGAGGAACTAGTGTGGCAGCTAATTACTACTTAGCTTTTCGTCACTGATTTTATGGCCGTGCTGTGGATTACAGAGAGAGAAGTCATGGAGTATGAGTCTGGTTTCAAAGCGGGCAAAGGGAAGGTGAAAAGCAATGCAAACCTTCCAAACTTGTCCTTGCTGGGGAAGCATTTAAACAAAAAGAGAGAAAATTACACAGACATTAAATATCAAAACATACATTTCCTTAGGGATATGCCCATAGATTGTACAGCATTTCAAATAGCAGCTTCCAGTAAGCTAAGACTTAAATAACATTTAATTAACATATTTTTAAACAAAATACTGTTCAGGCCACATGTGAAGGTTTTTTTTATATTTTTTGTTTTAAAGTTCGACTTCCCACATTAAAATGCCAGTTTTTTAAAATGCAATACAGTATTTAAAAAAAAAAAGTTTTAAAAAAGTGCTGTTTCACCTAGCCTACCACAACTTCGACAGCTAAATTACTTAATATGCGTCTTTAAAAAACAGTAAGATTTGCAGAAACAATGTAAAATGCCTTTTCATTTTCCACAGGAATGACTAAACAGGAATGTATTCTGGTGATGTCAAATAACTTTAGGCTAGAATGATCTGCTTTGTTACTATAGCAGCACATTATTTTAGAAGGACAACACACATTTTTTAACTAGCGCAGATGGAATAAGAATCTCAAAATTGGCTTATATGCAGATAACTTAAGAATAGATTTGCAGCTTTGATACCTACCAGTAACAATAGGTTTGATTATCAACATTTCAGTTGGTGTTCATTTGTGCACACAGTACTTTACAGGCACTTATTTTCACCTTGGACAGGAGTGTTACATAACATTACAGCTGAAACTGGGTAACACTGAAAGCAATATACAGCTCTACAGTGCATTATGTCACAAAGGCTTCAAATTTTGAGTCCTACGCTACTAGCCAGAAATTAAAAGTTACTTGCCCCTCCAAGCATGGAGGTTCCATGGCACACTCACTAAGGATTTCTACATGCAGGTGCAAAGTCTTCATTCTATATATACACATACATACAACTCAAATTAACATGAGACCCCAACTAGGGGTTTTCTGCAAAAGATCAGTTTTATTACATTAGATATATTGTACAGATACTGTAGCACAATAGCTACAAGGCACCCCCCTCTTAATAAACTAAACAGATATTCTATTCAAGTTTCCTGACAGGTTTTGTAGAGAGAGAGCTAAGTTATGTTTTTCATGAAACCTCACAGCAGTACATGCACAAACCTGCTAAATTGTGATTTTATGAAAAATGCTGCAAAACTGCAGGATCCACATGATGCCAAAAAGGCAACTTTGCACATAAGTCATCACTTTCAGCTGCTGATGGGACACAGTCATAGTCAGAAGCCTTTTATCCACTTTTGACCTGTTTATAGGCATACATATGAAAGTTGTCCCCCGTACACCTTTTATGCCATCAAAATTCAAACATAAATTAAGTTTTCATAAAAACTCAAAGTGACGAGTCTGCTGTAGCATAGGATCATACGTTATTTTTATTAACACACTAAAGGCCACCAACGGCATAATTCCATTACGTTTAATCTCAAATGAATCACCAATCTACAATAATGTGGATGAACAAGTTTACATGTAGGTAAGTATAGTTCTAATCCAAACACTTTTTCAGGTGGCATTCTTCAAAATAATTTAGCAGATAGCACAATGATTCTGCAAAGAAAGTACCATATTCTAACACACGCAGTTTGTTTTGTTTACTTAATATGATGTGAATACAAGGTGGCCCAGGAGGTCAAAATAAAATCATAATTTTTTTTATAGTGGATTAAATCTTCCCTGTCCCTCCCCCTCAACACCAAAAAAATAAATTTTCAAGTCTTACACTACAAGCCAGGCTTTAAATGTTACTTGCCACTGCAATATTTAATCATGCCTACAAGCAGGAACACAAGAAAACTCTGCTTGATAAATGTCAGGCTTTTCCTCCCACACAACAGAATTGCTTAGTGCTCAAAGCAGGTTTTTAATTGGTGGGGGGAGTGATTTCATCTTAAGCAATCTATTATAACCCACAAAGTTCAGTAATTAATGTAACAAAATGGATCACCTGGAAATTCAATTCCGCTGTAGAAACCAAAACTACCCACAATGCATATAAGCCAACTCAGGACACTGAAATCCCATAGATACATCATAAATGTAAGTATTCCAAATACAAAAACCATCAATAGAGTTTTTTGGTATTATAATTTTAGATTTTGAAATGCAAATAAATTTTAAATTTGCTTAGGAGCCAGTAATTACATTTTAGGAATCATGGTTTAGGGAATTCATCAAGCTGTGGAATACAGAAGGCTGGCGAGAACGTTGAAACACCCAAGGTCGACATTTATCAATTCTGGACAGTTTGAGTTCTAATTCGAATGCAGTCTTACAAGCCTGGAATGGGTCATGAAGGGACGCTGCATATAAGACTTCTGCAAGACTGCTGATCGAATACGGTTTTTAAAAATAATCAAAAAGCATGCTCAGTTTCTACAAAACAAGTCTGGATGTAAAAAAAAAAAAAAAAGTCAAAAGACTCACTAGAAAATTGCTCACAGATACAAGTCATTTTTGACTGACAGCCCTGCCGTAAATTTCAACTATGTTTTTAAAATCAGAAGGAACCGCATTCAATTCCAACCAACACCAGGTGCATAGAGGCAGGACCAGCAAATGCAGCAGTGAGAGTAGAAAAGAAGGGAAAATCCCCAGGCACTCAAAGTGTTCAAGCCACAGGCGGATTTATTGAATCAAATTGGAAGAGTAATGTTTCGAACAGCTATGAGGTCTTTATCAAGCTTGATAAAGACCTCATAGCAGGTCGAAACATTGCTCTGCCACTTTGATCCAATAAATCTGCTTGTGGATTTTCCATTCTTTTCTACTTTAAATTTCAACTATGTGAAGATTACAACATACAATCCTGTAGTTGTTTAGCATTTTAAGACAGGGCGCGACAAATTTGCTTGAAATTTGACAAGAAAAAAAGTTAGGAGCCAGGTTCTTCAACATTACAAACACAGCTCCTAAAGGGACACTATATGGCACACAAGGTAGCAGAGCAGTCAGAGTACATACAGCTCCCTCGCCACCTCCTTTCTCTCTGAGCAGGCCGTCTGCCTAAACTCTCCAGGTGACACCTCTGATCTCAGGCAGCCAGTCACCTTGGGTGCTTAACAGGCTCACAAATCTAAGGCACCAGGACAAATCTCCAAGTTGCCTTGGCGACTTGGGATTTGCAAGCCCTCGTCTAAGAGATACTGTATCACCTGTTAATTCTGCATCTGATTCAGTCAATGAGGTAGTAATTGCAACCAAAGAAACCGGTTGCTCATGTGAGCCATGCACCACCATTGAGACTTTTTCCTGGTTACATTTTCTAATTCTGCATTCTCTCTCCCCCCCTATACTACTTTAATCCCAAACATACTTCTACCTTTAACCTAACGCTTATAAAACTACAGTTATAGTTAAAGTCTCAAATCCAGTTTTATTACAACGTAACCTTTACCCATAAACACTGCCTTTTCTAGGTTACATAGCTGTCCAAAAGGAACTATTACTACAATCCAGGCTGTATTGAACATGATGATGCTAAAAGACAAACTGATCCCTGATGCATTCTTTATCAAACTAGTCCTTTCAATCTGGTCATAGTAACGTGGTACCATAGTTTTTCGTATAGGTATTAAGGGGACACTGTAGTCACCAGCACATCTACAGCTAAATGTAGTTCTGGTATAGTCTGTCCCTGCAGGCATTTTCATGTAATTTTTCAGAGAAAAGGCAGTGTTTACATTACTGCCTAGGTACACCTCTAGTGGCAGTCACTCAGACAGCCACTAGAAGTGCTTCATGGATCAGTGGTGCAATGTTCAGCAACTTCATGCTCTGCATGGACGCGCTGAAAATTGCTAAGAGATGCATTCATTAAATGAATCTTTGAGAAAACAGTGATTGGCGCTCCATGGGATTGGCGGAGATCATCAGAATTGAACCTCTCAGGTGCCACTCGCGACCAGAACTGTGCGGCATGGGAAAAGGGTAAGTAAATTAAATTTTTCATGGAGGGGGCCAGGCGTATTAATGGTGTTTTACACCTATAGTGTCAGGAATACACATTTCTTTTCCTGACACTATGGTGTTCCTTTAAAAGTTAACTAAAGATTTTGCTTCCCTACTTTTTTAATTTGGGACTAATTTGCTAGATTAATAAAAGGGTAGCGCACACTTTATTTTTGTTTGTCTACTTTGTTTTGCTGTAAGTGTAAAGGAGTGGCATTACACTTGGTGATTTTATGCTGCATAGGGTGTATTTTAAATTAGCACAAATTATCCCTTAATTACTTGTTGTGGAACTAATTTACTAGAGCTGAATGCAGTAACATACTCTAACTTGCATATTTATTAAGGCTACTCTCTAAGCACCATAACCACTATGCCAGGCTCTGAGTTCCCTGGTGTCATTCCATAGTAAGAAGTCAAGGTTTGACACTTACCTATGTCCCCCATGGCACCTACTTATTTCTGTTTTAGCTATAGATAAAATTAGAAGTTCTAATTCTGCTAAAACTGTATCAATTATGTCCAACTTTTTACTTTGTTCATTTGCCAAGTGTGTCACCTGACAAATACTGCCATTGAATGTCGTGAAAGTTCCACAAAATTGATACAGCAAGACTGATGGATCCTCCAAAAATCGATGGCTGAATCACATAGCCATCAACATTGACGGTTGCAAAGATTGGACAAACGTTGACGACAGAGCTCCACCTTTTTATAAACCTCAGGCTTTGCCATAAGAAAGTAGTTTCAATGAAATTCCAACACAGTCTCTCATAAAGAATATAGCTTTATGACATGTTGAAAAGTGACATACGCTTTAAGTTAATTTCTTCATTATACTGCATGAAGGAAAGAATCTTTACGAAGCAACCACCTGCTGGCAAAATCTCTTTTAGAATCAATTAAAAAGGTTTATTTTTCAAATCCAAATGGCATAATCAAAACAAAATACAAGCAAGACTTGTACATGAATCGGCGGAGAATATGGACACCACCGCTCTAAGTGCATGGATGAACAGGTGTCAACACATTCTAGCAAAGAACAGATTGTCACCCATATGCAGTGCTCCCTATATTGCACAATATAGGATGAAAGATCACACAAGATTTTGTAGACCTCACAAACCTCCTGCTATGTTCAGTATATCAGAAGTGCACATACACACACAAACCTCAAAACATTTCAAACGGACAAAGAGGAACATTTTTTTATTTCATGGTTGTGAGTGGCGGTTTGGACAGTGGCAAGGATGTTCTGAAACATTTTAGGTGCTGTACTAATTACAATTTATGGAACTAAAATGTTATTTAGAAAAGAAAACCATTATCTTATTTATACAGACCGGTTTCTGAACACATTTATTGCAGTTTAAAGACACATTACTGTGAGTATTATTGCTGTGGAGCTCTGCTTTGCACTCAGACAAATAGACCAACAATATGAACCTCCCAGAAAATAGGGACTGTCCAGCCTAAATATGGACACTTGGGGGTATGTACAACTTATGAATGAATGCTTGTGGCCTTCTTTTCCTCTGAGAAGGTAGTGTTTATAGCAAAAGACCCAAAGGGACAGACTATGCACCATAACAATTACATTAAAGGGATTCTATAGTCACCAGAACAACTACAGTTTGTTGAATTTGTTCTGGTGCGTAGAATCATTACCTTCAGGCTTTTTGCTGTAAACACGGTCTTTTCAGAGAAAATGCAGTGTTTACATTACAACCTAGTGATAACTTCACTGGCCACTTCTCAGATGGCTGTTCGAGATCCTTCCTGGGTCATGACTGCCTACAATGCATCCAAACATTCAGTGTATCCTCCCTCTGCATGCAGACACTGAACTTTCCATCTCTATGAGCAGATGTTGATTGGCCAGGGCTGTGTTTGAATTGTGCTGGCTCTGCCCCTGATCTGCTTCTTTGTCAGTCTCAACAAATCGTATGGGGGAGCATTGTGATTGGATCAGGCCACCACTTCTGATTTCAGAGGAAGTTCACAGTGAGAGGCAGCAGCTTCAGACTTGAATACAAATAAGATTTTACCATCTTTAGGGAGGCAAAGGGGGCTAGATAGTGGATTTAACACTCTAGGGTCAGGAATACAGGTTTGTGTTCCTGACCCTATTGTGCTATTTCAGCTAAAGTTCTGGTGACTATAGTGTCCATTTAACGCATATACAAAATACACTCATTTTAATTGCACTCATAAGGTACATTGCAAAAAACGCCTGTAAACATTTAGTTCAAATATCATCAGTGCACCTTGCCTCCTGCTAGTATCTCTCTTACTTCCAAATGCATTTGGGCTGCAAATGTAGTAAAGATATAGCTGATAAGAGAGAGATGTGTATTCAATTTCTTGACCCTGAATGGCATGTGTCATATACTTTAATTATCATAATTAGTTACTCTGTAGTTAATGGGGTGCTTGCAGTGTTACTTTAACAAATGTGTATTTGCGATGTGTTAAAAATAAACGATATATCCTGCAATGGACAATGCCATCTTGGCTTCCTATCAGTCTTTGTTATAAGCTCATCCTTGGCACCTGGCAGTAAGAACACAGAAATCATACTGAGAAGAGGAGAGATAAAACAATGAAGAGTTATTGAACTGCTCGGTTCATAAAAATGCAGTGCAAAAAATTTAAGAAATGAGTGATCACTAATAGAATCTGCCCACTGGTTTAATCTGTTTCCATGGTGATTGCCTCAATTTTACTACTTTAGAGCACTTTTTAAAACAGAACAGTTTGATAAATCTCAGTCTATTTCTTCTCATCTGCATTTAAAAAAACAAAAAAACATGTGTTTGTATATCACTGCTTGTGCTAGGTTCAAGTCAAATTGCAGGGGCCGCTTAAAAATGGTTGTGTACAACAGATAGAATTTCCACTTGCCAATACTAAGCTGGCAATTAATAATTTTGAGCCTTGATCCTATTAAATATATGCTCTGTCCTCTCTCAACTTACATCTTCCAATGCTTAGCTTGTCCTGATGCCAGTGTTCGGTCTTCACATTTGTCTTTCAATCTGACCATCACCATCACTGATAATAAAGTTTATTTATAAAACGCCAACAAATTCTGCAGCGTGGCTTAAACACCTTTTCAAAAGACAAGGTAAAAAGGGATTTTTATTTGAATCCTTTTGCATTTCGATTTTAAAGTTACATTCTACCAGAAACTGTGACCTCAGAAAAAGGTTCATAAAAAAATAGTCTTGGGAATGTTTGTATTATGCAAATGCATGTGTGTCTTCATAAAAGCATAATCCATTTGCACAAGGTTTATGGTATGGCCAAGACTGAGTTATAGATATCAATATTCTTGTCCATGCATAAGAACAGATTTTTATCAGCATTTTTGCATTGTGTTATGTTGACGATGGAATACGTGCCATTAAGACCCTTTAAAAATTTTGGAGACCGTTTGGCAAGACAGAGATATAAACACCAGCGTTTACACATACCATTGGGTGAAATATAGCACAAATTTAAACTAAAAAAAAAAAAGAAAAAGAAAAAAGGGAAAATTGTTCGAATTGGAATGAAGAGATAATTTCAGAACTCTTTCATAACACCAGCAACAATAATTCTCATGTACTTATCTTACAGCAGTGAATTGAAATTCAAACTGCAATGCAGCCATTTCATTGTGTCAGTTTCCCTTCCAAGCTACTGTATTCAAACACAACAAAAACCACATGTAAGATATCTGACCTGCTTAGTATGCAGCTTCCATTGAATCACAATTACATGATCAGGCATTCTCCACCGATTCCCAAAAGGCATGCTTTATTTCCCTCAACTATACCCAGTGTATTGATGGATGGTAGGCGATCCAGTGCTAACCCTGTTTATGTTATATAAAAAGGACATTCAAATACGAAAGCAATAAAAAAATAAAAATAAAGAAGTATATATATATATATATATATATATCTTCTAAAGTTTATTGAAGTTTCATTGACTGTTTCTCAAAGACACTGACAGAATCTTATATAAAATTACTTGAGGACTTGCATGCTCTGTTTTGGATAGACAGGCTATTCACTAAACTAAGAATTCAAAGTGAATTTCAAATGTAAGGCCAGAGTAGCCAAACTGAAAACATTGCCAACTTATAGAATTTGTCCGGTTTGGCTATTTTCCCCCTGAATTTGAAATATACTTTGAAGTCTCACTTTACTTAATAATCCTAAAAAGTGTAAAATATTACTACACTGGGCCTCATAAAAACAATGATTTTCATCATAGATGTTGCACTTCTTGGTCATCCATTTCTTTCATCTCCACACCATTATTAGTGATATATCACTCCAAGTATCACCAACCTGCACAAACGCCAGTTATGCCTCTCGTCCATTCTAAACAGTGTTTACTTACATTAAGTATCTTTCAGTTGCTTTTGTGTATAGTGTGTGGAGATAGCTGGGTGGAGAGAACAGACGGCAAGCTGAGTGGAAGGAGAACAGATGAAAGGCTAGATGGCAGGACAGAAAAATAAAAACAGTAGCCTGAGAAATTAGATGACAGCAATATGATTTAATGTAATTTGTTTGAAGTAGGTAAAATACACAAGTATTTCATAACTTCATTAGCTGCATTTAACTTTTTGATTTTCCAGACCATGACACATGGGGGAGTTTTAGCAGTGTTCTGTTTACTCATATATATAATGAAAAAAATATAACAAATAAAACTGGTGCCAACATGTAAAAGAGGAGTCACCAAGGGAATGTGTGATTGGTCCACTTTTGGAACTTAAATCCACTTAAAAAGAACCTCAACAGTATAACAAATCTCCCCCATAGACTTTGTGAAACTGGGGAGGAAAAAAAAATAAAAAATAAAAAAAAAGCATGATTGTGGTTGTTAAATACTTGCACTTCCTCTTTTCTTTCTACATTTAACCATAAGCGTAACTATTCTTCCAACCACAATACCACAGGGCTGTCCTCGAGCTTTGATTAGATGTGTGTCATCTGTTTGTGGAGACATTAACTTCCAGCACTCCATTTTTAGAGAACAATACAAATGCTTTATATAAATGTCTAGATCAGTGATGGCTAACCTTGACACCATAAATTATTTCTGGACTACATTTCCCATGATGCTCAGCTATCTTTTAGACTCTAAATGCAGTCCAGAAACAATTTATGGTGTCGAGGTTAGCCATCACTGGTCTAGACTGACAAAATTCTAATACTCAATTTGAATTTAGAAAGTGACATTTTAATGACGTGAAATAGGAAGGGTGGCCCTGTCTTATTAAACCTGTAATGTAAAACACTGCAGTTTGTGTTATTTCAGTGATTGCAATGTTTACATTGCAGGGTTAAATCCACCATTTATATGCTGGCTTTCTGGCTACTACACTACTGCTTCCGTGGCACCAACAGAGTAAAGCTGTCAAGTGATGAGGAAGCCCATAGGAATGCATTGAATACAAAGCCGTCCTATGGGGACGCTTTGATGTGCACGTGGTGCTCGCTGGAAATGCAAATCAGGCCCCCAATGCTCCTCTATAAGAGGCATTGTGACTCCTTGATGGCCATTTCCGCGCATGCGCATTAGGTCTCCCCCGCCGGCTATCGGCGAGGGAGGAGCCTGACCCATCGCCGAGGGACATCAGTGCTGGATTTAGGTAAGTCACTGAAAGGGCTTTAACCCTTTCAGTAACATGAGATAGGGGTGGGAGGGAGAGAGGCACTGCAGGGTCCTGCAGTGCCAGGAAAACTGATGTTTTCCTGGCACTGGAGAGTCCCTTTAACACTTGTGCATGAGAGTAAAAAACTGCAGTATATAGGGGACCTTTCATATTTGATCTTGTACAATGGGATGCCATATTACAAATGACAGGAGAAGAGGCTTGTTCCTAGACAGCAGGATGTGATTGGGCAAGCTCTACTAGTTTCAACATTTTGCCAAAAAACGAGTCTTACATTAAACAAAGTACTTCCTATCATGTATGTCTTTGGACTGTTTTGGAATTTCAGTTAAATTCCAACTCGTGTATTTTCATAAAAGTTTCTATTTTAATAAAACTATGAGAGGACAGCATCACTTTAAAGAGACAAAGGCTAAAGCAAAAGAAAATCAAACTGATAGCCGTGGAGAACAACAAAAATGCCCTTTGTTAGTGAAAAGGATACAATAAAGAATAGGTAATTTAATCGTTCTTTCAAAATGGGAGAGGATTGGAGTTTGACATAAGAGCTTCCTGTTTTTATATCTCTCCCATCACCAATTAAGATCGTTTTAGTTATAAAGCAACTGGTACAATAGTGAAACACTTACTAAACAGACACTAACAAAATAGACAGATGTGTCTGCTAATCATTTCAATGTTTGTTTATGGTCCTTCTTGAAAAGATTGGAATTTTTCTCATTTTTTTTTTTTAATACCGTATTCTTTATTTTTGTTGTGCATATAGGATACAAACAAGCTGACATTGCCACAACAGCAAATACCAACAGATCATCAGTAACAGTAGTATGGCACAGAATAAGAAAGCACATTTTTTCTTTTATAAATCAAGCATCAGTGTGTAGAGCAGTAATTAACACGACAGACACTTGGATAATGCAAGAGAGCAGAACACATTGAATACCGCAGGTTAGGCGTGTATACCGTGTAGGCCAAGTAGGCAAAGACAGGTAGTCTGCCATACAGATTAACATTAATGCAATGAAACATACATGTGTGTTGCAAAGTATTAGTCAGGCTGGGCTAACTCATCTGAGCAAACAGCATTTACAAAACGATCTGACAAAAAGAGGGTTAACAACTATTTATGCATAAGATTAATAAAATAAAAAATAATAGTGTGGATGCTGCTTTCTAGTTAAACAGAGGATTAGTTACCACTGAGAGCAAGTCCCCCTATTATGTTAGTACACTTTGGTGAGAAGAGAGAAGGATGATGAGACATGAAAATAGGAAAAGAGCATATTGAGAACATATCGAATATATGCAAGCTGGCATCCTTGAGATGTAGAGGGCACGCTATGTTGAGGCGGTATGTCTACCCGTTTCACTGGGTTACCTGTCAACCAACTCCCTTGCATGGAAAGCACCGGTGATGTGCTGGAGGGTCTCGGCAGGTAGCCACAGCACTGAGGTGAAGTAGGTCATTCCTCTTGCCCTGAGCCAATACGGAAACCGGCATCTCTAAGCCACAGACTTGGTGGCTCACTGAGTCAAAGTCCCTCCCGTAGACGGGACAGCAGAAGGTCCTGGTCTTGTTGCGGACTTGCTTCCGCTGGCGTGGGTGATGCTTCGGGCCATGCCCCTATTAGTCTTCAGCCCATGTGGGTGTACATCGGATTGAACTACTGCCTGTATTGTACCCAGTGGGGGCCTCCTGAGTCCCTGCTGTGCTGACCAGGGTACTTATGTTTTAATTTTAGAACCGGGCTGTTGGTGTGTGTAGGCTTTACCCAGCATTTTCCTCCGCTTCCGTTCTGCATGTGTCACAGCTGTGCCTCTCATAGCCGGCCCCAGCTCATTGTAGTTACTGGATGTGCCGGTCTGGGCCATACCTGTCACGGTAGGTTTCTCCATCCGCTCATATAGTGCCTGCAAGAATTGTGCAAACGCTTGGGGCCTCATACTTGTGGGAGTGCCGTTTTGCCGGTTCAGCTTTGCGGGATCTAACGATTTGATGGCTGTGGATTGGTCGTTACTCGAGTGGGGACCGGGATAATCCCCACTGGTCCGGTGGAGGTGACAGGGCTATGAGCAGGCTTCAGTTGGCTGTGCACTCCGGGTTGGTGGACCAGCCGATTCCCCCGGTCACCAGACACACTACGCCTTAAAGCCAAGGTGATGCGAAAACCTGCCAGATATTACTCATCTAGGTATAAATCAGTACAGGCAGGTTTATGGATGGTATGTTGCTCGCCTGAGCCAATTTCTTCTTCGTTATGCTGCAATTAAGCCAGTTTTCATCGGTCAGAAGTCAGAGCTACAAGAAAACACGTCTGACCATGTTGGGCCTCAGGTCCCGTAGCCAGCTTGGAATTTTTTAACATTTAGATATTGATCAAACTAAAAATACTGGTCAAACAAGAGTTTAATGTATTGCAGTGATGGCCAAAACTGGCACCCAATTTATTAACTACAAAGAGACCGATGCGTGAATTCACAAAGTTTGATATCATAAGCTCCATCTTTTGTCAGCTTGAGGCTTTACCAGACATTGATGTCCCAACTTTGTCTTATATCTTTTGACTGTGTTGGAATTTCAATGAAATGCCATCACAGTTATTGTGAATATTTAAAAGTTATGTCTTAATGAAAAAAAAAAAAATAAAAAAAAAAAAAAAAAAAAAAAAAGGTACACTCTGGCGACAAGAGGCGCTTTAACAAAAAGTGGTGATAATGCAATAAACAAAAATATGTAAAATAACTTTGAATGTCCTTTTCAGACGCGGGAATATCAACAATAAATTTATAGTTTTCATTACTAAGAAAAGGAAGTGTACAAGACCCGTGCGACAACTCTGATCCTCACATTGTTTTAAATGTGAACACTGTATGTGTCCCATAAACTGCTACAGAAGTCCACTTGATTCACTTGTCAGCTTTCTGTTGTAAGCTGTACCGGGACTGTCATATCCAAACAAGAGTAGCTTTATTGTTTATGTATAAATGCAATATATTACATTGGACGTCTGAGGAAGTGCCTTGTATGACATGAAACGCACTGGTATCGCCCTCCTTTATGCTCCACTTTACATATTGTGTTCCAATGTAATACTTTGTGATTAATAACAGAATGTCTTGACAGACAAGACTGAGTCTGGTCTTTTATCCCCCCATGTAAACCTGGCGCATTGTTAGCCTTCACCTGTTAAGTATTAGAAAATGCTACACACCAGGACTATCTTACGGTAGTACCATTTTTCCCTTACCTACATTGACGCTTGTCTACTATAGTATATGTAGTAGCTTTATTCTTGAGAACATTAAAGGACCACTATAGTGCCAGGAAAACACACTTGTTTTCCTGGCACTATAGTGCCCTGAGGGTGCCCCCACCCTCAGGGACCCCCTCCCGTCCAGCTCTGGAAGGGGGAACAGGGGTAAAACTTATCTTTTTCCAGCGCTGGGCGGGGAGCTCTCCTTTCCGCCCCGTCGGCTGAATGCGCACACGCGGCAAGAGCTGTGCGCGCATTCAGCCGGTCGCATAGGAAAGCATTCATAATGCTTTCCTATGGACGCTTGCGTGCTTTTACTGTGATTTTCACAGTGAGAATCACGCAAGCGCCTCTAGCGGCTGTCAATGAGACAGCCACTAGAGGATTTGGGGGAAGGCTTAACCCATTGATAAACATAGCATAACATTAAGCTGAAGTGGTCTGGTTGCATAGAGTGGTCCTTTAAGCTGTGAACATAGAAAGGACCAGGCATGTTATAGCATAAATTACATAGTTACATAGGCTGAAAAGAGACATTTGTCCATCAAGTTCAGCCAGATATTATATACTTGTACACTGCTGCTGTAGAGAGCACAGTAAAATTATATGGTTAATGTACAGCTTTTGTGTCTCACTAATTTATCGCGAAAAAAATTCAAATAGGTAGCACAGAGGTAAAAGTGTACTTTTGCGAAATGGCATATACATTAAAGGAACACTATAGTCACCTAAATTACTGTAGCTAAATAAAGCAGCTTTAGTGTATAGATCATTCCCCTGCAATTTCACTGTCATTTAGGAGTTAAATCACTTTGTTTCTGTTTATGCAGCCCTAACCACACCTCCCCTGGCTATGATTGACAGAACCTGCAATGAGAGAAAAAAAAAAAAAAAACTGGTTTCACTTTCAAACAGATGTAATTTACCTTAAATAACTGTATCTCAATCTCTAAATTGAACTTTAATCACATACAGGAGGCTCTTGCAGGGTCTAGCAAGCTATTAATATAGCAGGGGATAAGAAAATCGTAATTAAACAGAACTTGCAATAAAGAAAGCTTAAATAGGGCTCTCTTTACAGGAAGTGTTTATGGAAGGCTGTGCAAGTCACCTGCAGGGAGGTGTGACTAGGTTTCATAAACAAAGGGATTTAAATCCTAAATGGCAGAGGATTGAGCAGTGAGGCTGCAGGGGCATGTTCTATACACCAAAACTGCTTCATTAAGCTAAAGTTGTTTAGGTGACCATAGTGTCCCTTTAACAAAAAAATAATAAGTACTCTCCAATTACAATTTTCACCATAGAAACCTAACGATTCTTTTAATTAAAGCACACACACAGCATAATTACTTTTAGTTAAAAGCCACAATCTGGAAAAAAAACTTTTAGTTGTAACTTTGGATCACCTAGTTTCTCAAATTAATACAAACATTACTTAAAACGAATAGTGTGTTTATACCAAATATCAATAACTTTCACACTAAACATCTAATACCTAACCAAAAGGTATATACCAACATTCTATATCAATAACATAACTACAGCCATTTGAACTCTTTCCATACCAGACAATATAAATCCACAAAAAGCAAACCTAACTAACCAGTGTCACACACAAAAAAAAAAAAATTAAAAAAAATTCTAGAGCAAGACTTTCCGTAAATGGAATAGATGTACTACAAATGTTACATGGTGTGTTTAGTCAAAAAGATACAAATGAATCAGTAATATCACTTCAAAATGTGCTCACAAGCAACAAAAACAGAAATGCAAGAAAAGAAGCCATTTGCAAAATATTGGAATCTAAAATTAAAGATATAGCTCATATATTATGCACACACATATAAACACATACACACTTATTATAACTTACTTATATAAAATGAATGGTGCATACTCTTATACAAGGTTAGGAGTCTTACACAGGCATTTAATGTAATGCTATAAATGCCTTCCTGATTCCTTGTTTTATTATACACTTCATGTCTCTCTGGCCCCTAATGTGTAGGCCACCATCACCCACCAACCCTCACCCTCAGAGAGGGCTATAAGGACACACATCATGCATGTCCCCCCCAGAGCTGCTGTTACATGGGGACATGATGACAGGGAGCAGTGATTTTCTCCCTGCAATCCATGATGGTGGAGGATTTCCTCCTCCCACTCCCTGCAGCTGGGATCTCTCATCCTGCACCGCCCAGGAGATCTCTGCGACCCTTTATCACCCCCTGCCCCTATTAACCCCCTGCCTGCCAGCCCGTGACATCACACATCCCTCCCGGCTGCGGCTGAGCCCCTCAGATTGTACCCCCTCTCCATGTCCGGCTGGGGGTAGCTTAACCCCATCCTCCCCGGCTATCTGGGCCTGTGTTGGAGAATACTCCACTGTGAAGGGGCAGACAGCCCAGAGCTCCCCGCCCTCCCCAGAATGTCCGGTGCCCCGCTCCCCCCTCCCGGTATGCCAGATTCCCGTCTTCCGCCCCCTCCCTATATACCCGGTACTCCTCTCCTCCTCCCCCCGGGTATTCCCAATGCCCCCCTCCATTTCCCCCGGTATTCCCTCCATTTCCCCGGTGGGTGCCCCTCTCCCCGGTATTCCCGGTCCCCTCCATTCCCCGCTATTCCGGTCCCCCTCCATTCCCCGCTCCCCCTCCATTTCCCCAGTATTCCCGGTCCCCCCTCCATTCCCCGCTCCCCGGTGCCCCCCTCCATTCCCCCCGCCCCCCGCTCCCCAGTTCCCGGTACCCCCTCCATTCCCCGCTCCCCGGTATTCCCGGTCCCCCCTCCATCCCCCCCTCCATCCCGCTCCCCCTTTACCTTCTTGATGTTGTAGAGGCGGGTGAGCATGCCGATGCCCCTGTCGTTGAGGATGGTCAGTTTCTCGGCCAGCTTCTGCTGACTGGGCTGCAGCACGGGGCGAGACATGGCTCTCCGCTCCGGTAACCGCCGCTGCCGCCGCCTGGGAGGATGCTGTCCGCCGCCGCCTGGCGGGCCTTACCGAGCGGGTGAGGAGGGACGCGGACAGGCCGCTGTGATTTGTTATTGTGGAGGGGAGGGGGCGCCCTACACGGCTCCCATGCTCCGCAGTGTAACGACGCGATGACACGCCTGCCTGCCACCCGCCGCCGGCCCCGCCCTTCCTCCCCGAGCAATAGGCGTGGCCTGCGTTCGTGTGGCCCCGCCCTCTCTCTCCTGGACGACGTTCCTTTCGCCCTCACACTCTGCGGGCGCGCGTGCCAGTTGTCCTGTCCTCCTCCTCCTTCCACACGCGCGCGCCCCCGCCTACCAGTGACGAGCTTGCGGCAGGCTGTGCGCGCGCTTGCAGAGCGCTGAGGTGACGTCACCCTGTACCGCCCAGTGCCAACTGGTGGCTGGGAGATGTCTGGATGCTGCCGCGGCGTGACGTCACACGGGATTCTAACATGACAAGGGACTGAGTGACAGCACTCTGGGCCCCTTGGAGTGTGTACACCCTGATTTATTCTGTCAAAAACGAAATATTACAAATCCAATGTGGCTATGATCAGAAATATAGCCTTTTAGTGAATAAACCTTACATTTATTTAGCAAAAAAACATAAAATAAATAAAATATTAAATAAGTGACATCTAATGTAAACCGTTCTGCTAATATAGCTGAGATTAAATAGTAGCTGCTCCGTCAATGTTGCAGTTTTGTCTATTTTGGATCACGATATACAGCTGCCTTGTCAGTTCTTCACAGTTTCCGTTATTAATTGTGTGCATATACTGTGAAGTTATGTTTCTTACAGAAAAAGTGACAGCATTGTTCCTTAATTATCATTCAGCATTTTCTGGGGTGGATAAGGCAGCGTAGGTTAAAGGAACATTATAGTCACCTAGACTGACTGCAATGTCCCTGTCTTCTTAAACCCGCAATGTAATACAATGTCCCTGCCTCCTTAAACCCGCAATGTAATACAATGTCCCTGTCTCCTTAAACCCGCAATGTAATACAATGTCCCTGTCTCCTTAAACCCGCAATGTAAAACAATCTCCCTGTTTCCTTAAACCCGCAATGTAATACAATGTCCCTGCCTCCTTAAACCCGCAATGTAATACAATGTCCCTGTCTTCTTAAACCCGCAATGTAATACAATGTCCCTGCCTCCTTAAACCCGCAATGTAATACAATGTCCCTGTCTCCTTAAACCCGCAATGTAATACAATGTCCCTGTCTCCTTAAACCCGCAATGTAATACAATCTCCCTGTTTCCTTAAACCCGCAATGTAATACAATGTCCCTGCCTCCTTAAACCCGCAATGTAATACAATGTCCCTGTCTCCTTAAACCCGCAATGTAAAACAATCTCCCTGTTTCCTTAAACCTGCAATGTAATACAATGTCCCTGTTTCCTTAAACCTGCAATGTAATACAATGTCCCTGTCTCCTTAAACCCGCAATGTAATACGATGTCCCTGTCTCCTTAAACCTGCAATGTAATACTATGTCCCTGTTTCCTTAAACCCGCAATGTAATACAATGTCTCTGTTTCCTTAAACCCGCAATGTAATACTATGTCCCTGTCTCCTTAAACCCACAATGTAATTACTATGTCCCTGTCTCCTTAAACCCGCAATGTAATACTATGTCCCTGTCTTCTTAAACCCGCAATGTAATACAATGTCCCTGTCTCCTTAAACCAACAATGTAAAACAATGTCCCTGTTTCCTTAAAACTTTGCATTTTTTGAGAACTAGTAATGTTTACATCGGAGGGTTAATTCATTCTGTGGTGACTGTTACACTGGCAGCCACTAGAGGTGCTTCCGCGACACATATACCAGTCACATGATACTGAAGCCTTGTAGGAAAGTATTGATTCAATGCTCTCCTATGGAAAAGTTTAATTGCATGCACAGCACACACTGCGCATGTGCCTTAGGTCCTCAGGAGGGGGGGGGGCGGGGGGAAGGGGGTACCAGGGCAGGGACAGGAACATTCTAATGTTAGCAATATGGATTTATATTTCTTTTCAAATATTTTATTGAAAGTTTTAAATACAATATAACCAAACAATAAAAACTATATCAAACAAACAAGAAAGTGATACTTCCTCTTTAATGAATATATGTTGTCACGGTGATTTCCTTATTTGTGTATCTATTGCCAGCATATAGTATGTGTATGTGAATTCAGGTGTGTATTATATATCGAGTGGATGTTATCGTGTTTGTGTATGTGCGTGTATTTGAATATGCAGGTGAATGCAAACATATTTGTGTATAATAATGAACTGAAAGCAAATAGTGTGTGCATGAACATAGAGGTATATTCTTATAGATGGCACTGTGTGTGACAGTAATGAGCAATGGGTAGTATTTTTATGGACAGCGCTGTGTTATGTTTCTCCCACTCCCTTATCACTTACTATCTCCCCCATTTTTTATCACCTCACTCAGATGCCTCTCTCTTTATCTCACCCCATGACACTTGTGTCATATGTCAGATCATATTCCCACTCCTATGCTGACATAGTGATGGCGCCAGATCTCCTAAGTAGACCTCTTGGCAAAGAGAAATATTACAGCACTCTGAGTTAGACTTGGGGAATAAACCAATGAAAACTATATTATGGATACCTGCATACCTCGGGGCCCTGCAAAAATAATTTGTGCAGATTTATCAATTGGCATTATGACAAATAATGCTGGGCCAGGTGGTGAAAATTGCTGATGTCCCCAGGAAGGAGTGCACAGCCAGGTCCGTCCTTGCCCTGGGTATTCTGTCAATAACCACAGTTACGGAGTGGTTCGCCCGCAACTGTATATTATTATTACTACTGATTGGTAGAGGGTGCAGTATGTCACTGACTGAAATCTTTTCACTCCTCTGCTGTTGAATGATATTTACATTAAAGCCACCACAGATGGAGTTTTTTTGTTTGTCCTGGGACAGTATGGTTCTGAATCTGTGGAATTAGATAAGATAGGGTTATTCAATAATTTGTGAAGTGACTGAAATTCAATATTACATTTGAAAGTGGCACTGTCACCCCAAACCAAAAAAAGAGTGTATCATAGATAGAATGTTTATGAAATATGAATTTTTGACTGTGTTGGAATTTTACTGAGATTACAACCCAGTCAAGAGATATACTGAGGCAAAGTAGGGTCTACCTTGTTTCTGTATTTTGCCTCCGCTTGACTGTTTTAGACTCAGGGCAAAGCCCAAGTGTCAATCCCTACAGCCACCACCAGTAATGACTGCAGGGAATGTACTGTGTCTATGGAGGATCCTGTGGTTTTGCGGGATCCTCCGTAGACCTCAATGCTGTACTCTTGCGCATGCACGAGAGTGCAGCAGTCACGTCAGCCTGAAGAGGACCCGTCAGATCAACATGGTGGTGCCCACAAGGGACAGGTTCAGGTAAGTAAATCTCACCTTCACCAGCACCTGCAACTTAATGACACCAAAATTACTACAATGGGATTCATCTCAGTCTTCCTGTCAGGATTACAGTATGATCCAGCCCGTAGAATTGTGTAACACAGAGGACTGATAGGTAACGTATACCTAGACCTTAGAATGGCCAGACTAACGTATAGTCAGGAATAGCCGAGGTCAAGGGATACAGAAAGAGACACAACAATAAGGAAAAGCCAGGAGTCAGGGATGCCAGAAAACAGGGAAGTCAAAAACAATGCCAAAGTCAAATAACCAGAATCAATAACGCGCTCTCGGACAACCACAAGGGAAACCACGACAGGGCAATGAGCAGGATGAGAACTGGGCCTAAATACCCCTCCTCTAGATCTGATAGGCTGGAAACGGCCTTTGACCCCAAAGGCAGTAACCAGGTTCCCATTTGCATAATTTCTGCTCAGCATTCACCCTTCTGTGGATTTGGTTGTTGCTCGGCACAACTTTTCCTGTGTGGACAGTAAATTCCATTAATCACATTTTTACAAGCGGATGAATACATGACACTTCCCCTTTATAGTTACACAGTAATAAAGGCTATAGGCTTTCAGTTTCATCCTTCAATATTGTAGCAGACTCCATTCCCCTATGTTCGGTTGTCCGTACCTCCTTGTTCGTCCCCTGAATGACTGGTGTGTGGTCCCTTGTTATGCCCCAGTGAACACTGACCTCCCCAGGCTGTTAACCACAAATTAACGACTTGACACCTTAGCTTGAGTACTTTCCCTGGGTGTCCGCCATTCATATAACCGAACGCATATGGTCCAGTGCATGGCGGGCATTTTGTGTCCCGAACGCAGGCAGCAGTGCTTGGTCGTCGAACGCCTGGAACTGTTTTCGGCCTCACGTCTCTGCGAACCTGGCGAAAGATGGTACCACTGCCTGTTCAACTTCCCGACCATCTAAACGAACGACGTTCGGGAGATATGATCTACCGAATAGGGGGAGCACTCGCTCCATAACAGCCAGGGGGAGCGTTTGTCAGTGTTGGCACAGGAACCCCCAAAAGCCGACTTGCCATCCTGACAAATCCTCTGGAACTATTTTGTGCTATCCCCTCGTGGCTGGTCGGTCAAAACTTTATTCGAACATAACTTTTCGTTCTATCGAACCAATCTGAGTGCTTTTTAGATATGTTGTGCACTCAGAACGGGGATATTCAGGAATATGATTTTTGTGGGGTTCCTGGATTCCTGTCATGTATTTTTGGGGTATGTTAAAAATGTATGAAAGTTTTTGTATTTGAGAGATAATATAATTATCTTAAATTGAGCTCAATTATCTCTCAAACAGAAAGGTTTGGGGAAGAAACCCTTGTGTTTTTGATCTGGAAACCCCATGCTAGGAGAAATGCATAAAAGGTTGTTTGTGGCAGAATGAAGTCAGTTGTACTCTCAGAACTGTGTGTTTTCCAGTTGCTGGGGAGGAGGTGGGCTATTTACTTGCATTTTCTTGTTCTTGATTCCACTCTTCGTGATCCAGCGGAGGAAAGTCCCTGTTAGGACTAGGTCTCCGCTACACATATATCACAATTTGCATTGATTTTAAATTGTGCGGAAAAATCTAAGTAATTGGGAAGGCCCCAGACTGACCTATGAGCTGCATTGCAGTGTTGCAGTGTTGAAATTGAGCGTTGCATTCAGCCTTTTAAGTCACAGCAAGGGACTTATCACTGAAAAAGCTATTCTTACCTGCCCTCAGTCTAAGGGAGACACCATGGTCTGAAAAAGACCCGGACAGTGTCTTCCTGTATGCCCACCTGCCCACTGTGATTGGCGCTCGGCTTTGCCAGCTGCCCAGCACTGATCACTTTTTAAAAAT